ATTATATATATATATATATATATATATATATATATATATATTAATAATTTTGTAAAGTATAAAAATGCGCTGCAATTTTTCTATAAAATAAACTGCTGTTCCAATTGCGTCCACTGGATGGCGCAATAGCAATTGTGTTAAGCAAGCAAACTGTTTATACCGGGGCAGAGCAAGTAGGTCAAGCACGTGCAGCCAATGAGCTACTTTGTTTTGCCCGCAATATTTATTACGGCTTCTACTTTTAACATTATGTGCTTTGGCACCCTCATTGCCCCAATATGTCTCTGTCAAAAAAGAGAAAAGTGGACGCAGAGTGCAGAGTGTTCCAAGAAAAATGGTCATCCTATTTATTCACTGAATTGAATGGGAAAGCTGTATGTTTGGTGTGTTCAGAGCATGTTGCAGTGCTGAAAGAATATAACCTTCGTTGCCACTATGTGAGTCTTCATGCCGACAAATATGACAACTTTCAAGGACAGCGGAGATGAGAGAAGGTGAATGAACTGTTGGCGGGTCTGAAGAAACAGCAGTCTGTGTTTACTCACAGCCGAGACATCAGTGACGCTGCAGTGAAAGCTAGCTACCTCATTGCTAATGAAATCGCAGTGGCTTCAAAACCATTTAGTGAGGGTGAATTTGTAAAAACATGCATGATGAAGGCAGCGGAGATTGTGTGCCCTGAAAAGCGGCAGGCTTTTGCAAATATCAGCCTGACAAGAAACACAGTTGCAGACAGGACTTCCGATCTTTCAGTGGATTTGGACAGCCAGTTGAAGCAAAAAGTAAAGTCATTTATTGCGTTTTCGGTTGCAATTGATGAAAGCACGGACATTACAGATGTTGCACAACTGGCCATTTTCATCCGCGGAGTTGATGACACATTGACCGTCACCGAGGAGTTCGTGGAGTTGGTGCCGATGACAGATACAACGACAGCAGCTGATATTTTTACAGCACTCGTCGGCGCGCTGGACAGGGTCGGAGTGGACTGGTCCCGCGCTGTCAGCCTGGCTACAGATGGTGCGCCCTCAATGATCGGGAAAAAAGCAGGCGTTGTGACAAAGTTCAGAGAGAAAGTGCAATCTGCAAATGGAGGACGTGATTTTTTGACTTTTCACTGTATTTTGCACCAGGAGGCTTTGTGTTGCAAGTCATTAAAGATGGATAACGTCATGAAGGTGGTCATCCAAACTGTTAATTTCATCCGATCCAGAAGCCTGAATCACCGTCAGTTTGACAGCCTTCTCAGAGAGAAAGACCACATCTATGGCCTGCCATACCACACTGAGGTAAGATGGTTAAGCCGAGGTGCTGAGGCGTTTCTTTGATTTACGAGAAGAAATTGAACAGTTCATGGAAGAAAAGGGCAAACCAGTGTTAGAATTTCATTCCGCAGAATGGATGCAGGACCTTGCATTTATGGTGGATGTTACAGAGCACCTGAATAACTTGAACAAACAGCTGCAAGGGCGCAACAAAGTTGTCACGCAGTATTATGACAGCATACGTTCTTTCAAGTTGAAGCTGTCATTGTGGGAGACGCAACTTGCCGGTGGTGATGCAGCTCACTTCCCCTGTCTGAAAAATGTGTGCGCGACCCAACATGTGGCAGACATGAAGCGGTTCAAAGTTAAAATAACGGGACTGTTACGGGAGTTTGAGCAACGCTTTAAGATTTATGTTTATATGTTTTTATGTTGATGTGCTATTGTTTTTAATTGATTTTATTTTATTTGTATATTTAACCTATTCTTGACTCTGTGGTTCTTGCACTTGTTTGGGGAACAGGATTTCATTATTTTTATCTACATTTCTGCCTGAGAAATGACACCCTGATATAGTTCTGTGATCTGTGATATACTTCTGTGAATCACTGAGGCATTGTGTGTTTGTGTGTTCTTTGTCCTCAGAACTCTCAAATAACTTGAGGTGTTTTATGATTAATAGTGATGTTGTGCTTTTGGACACTGTCCTCAGGCTCCAGCTTTATGTTTATATGTTTTTATGTTGATGTGCTATTGTTTTTATTTTATTTGTATATTTAACCTATTCTTGACTCTGTGGTTCTTGCACTTGTTTGGGGAACAGGATTTCATTATTTTTATCTACATTTCTGCCTGAGAAATGACACCCTGATATAGTTCTGTGATCTGTGAAACAGTTCTGTTAATCACTGAGGCATTGTGTGTTTGTGTGTTCTTTTTCTTTAGAATTTTCAAATAAACTTGACATGTTTTATGATTAATAGTGATGTTGTGCTTGTACTATTTTGGACACACTGTCCTCAGGCTCCAGCTTTATGTTGTATGTTGATCGTATTAAAACAAAGAAAACAATCTGAAGTTGTTGTTTTAAAGTTATATATACACCATGATTTTTCCGGTCCAGCCCACTTGGGAATAGATTTTCCTCCATGTGGCCCCTGAGCTAAAATGAGTTTGACACCCCTGCACTAGAGTATCTTTTCAAGTGGTTTTATTCGATTAGACACTGCATTTGGTAACAAAAACAACAAAGTTAAGACGCAGTTTGTTGTTGTGATTTAAAAATGGAAGTTTGTTATTGACGTTCATTGATTAATAGTTTAGTGAGTGTTGGTCATAGAGGAACACGGCTAACACTGTTGGAATCTGTGCGGTAGCAGCTTTCAAATGGTGTATCGTTTGTGTAGATAACTTATACTTATCTGTCTACGAATATACGGGCATGCACGGTTTCAAAATACAGTACTGGTTTTTCTATATGCTTATATACTTGCTTGGAGTCTGAATATTATTTAATTTGGCCAACAACAGTTTAGCTAGATTCACAGTTGAGACGCTTCTCGTTCCAGTAGCATTCAGGTATTCACACGTTTAAAAACCGTACTACGTCATTGTTTATTGTTTGAGATTGCGGGAGGAGTACCCCGGATATGGGGAACCTCGTGATGAAGAGGTTAATGCAAAGCGCTATGTCTGGAGAAAACCAGGCACAGCTCATCACCTGTCTAACACCATCCCTACTGTGAAGCATGGTGGTAGGAGCATCATGCTATGGGGATGCTTTTCAGTGGCAGGGACTGTGAAACTGGTAAGGATAGAGGGAACAATCAATGGAGCCAAACACAGGCAAATCCTTGATGAGAATCTGCTTCAGAGTGCAAACGACCTTAAACTTTGGCAAAGATTTACGTTCCAACAGGACAATGACCCCAAGCATACAGCCAAAGCAATGCTGGAATGGCTTCAGAACAAGAATGTCCTTGTGTGGCCCAGCCAAAGCACAAACTTGAACCCATTAAATCTGTGGGAAAACTTGAAGATTGCTGTTCACCACCACTCCCCAAATCGAATTTAACAGAGCTTGAGAAAATCTGCGAGGAAGAATGGGAGAAAATCGATGTGCAAAGCTGATACAGACATTAGACGACTCAACACTGTAATCGCTGCCAAAGGTGCTTCTACAAAGTATTGATTCAGTGAATACTTTTGTAAATGAGGTATTTCATGTGTCCAATGTTATTATAGGATAGTGTGTAGAATAGCGGACCCAGAGTAGCCAAGGGAGGTGATAGGTGGGAATGAGGAGTATACAAAGCAATACTTTAATATATTACAGACGCAGGATTTCAGGATACATGGCTTGCCTCAAACAGTTGTCCATAGCAGCAACATTAAAGATACGAAAACTCACAAAAATGACGTATGTCGGCAAGTCTAAAGCTCAGCCCCTCAATAAGGGTTCCTACTGCAGCTAATACTAGGCCTAAATGCTAAACATATATAGGGATTACCCCTTTTTCCAGCTCTAAACAGAGCCCAACTCTCCCCTTACTGGAACTAAAGAGAGTCTACCAGAACAGCCTAAATCAACTGCCTGTACAAAACAGGATGCAACAAACTGCTATGGAGCACAATGTAAAATGGTGTTCAACCTTGAGCTGAGCGAAAAGGACAGCATTTATCACTTTATGCCTCAACTCCACCCACACTTAATAAACAATGAGAATGAGCATTTAATTACAATAACTTGACTTTGTTAATTAGACCAGGTAACACAATGGAAACTATAATTGAAGTTAATCGCATTCATTAGTTTAAATGACCATATTTAGTCATGTACACTTAGTTTAAAAGACAGCGCTACATTGAATACAGGAGTGTAAAACTAATTCCATGGAGGGCAGCTCTGCAGGTTTTTTGTTTTTCCTTTCAATTAAGCCCTAGACAACCAGGTGTGGGGAGTTCCTTACTAATTTGTGACCTTAATTCATCAATCAAGTACAAGGGAGGAGTGAAAACCTGCAGCCACTCGGCCGGCCCTCCGTGGAATGAGTGACACCTGTGATCTATTAGAACATGATTAGAACTACTCAGGGAGTCAAAGCATGGGCGAACTACACGCTAATTATCTAACTCACCACACCTGGCTTAAACCTGCGCAACCAACTCTGTAACAAACAATTAAGGGCAGGAACACCTAAACTGGTAGATAGCTATGCATGGCAATGGACTAGTGCACTTTATCCATGTGGGTTAGAATTAGGAGTTAAGTTTAAGGTTCCGGGTTAAGGTTAGGGAAAATGGAAATACATTTTAGGTCCCCACAAGGATAAAATAACAAAACATATGTGTGGTTGATTGGGTTCCGGGGGAGGTTTCTGTGGAAATGTAATGTGAATCAATAATGTTCTCTGGGAGAGTCTCCACCACACTGTCTCAGATTAATAAAAGTTACCACAGAATCTTACAAACACACACACAGAATTGCAGTACGAACATGGAGTACCGCTGCCATCTGCTGGTCAAATGACGACATCAGTTTCTTTAACAAATGTATTTTCAGTTCAAAATTATTGTTTTTAGATGATACATTTTACACATGATACAATCACACATGTATGGCAATGATTTTAAGGGACAGTAGTAGTCACACAATCAACAAAGTATCAAAAATAATTGTGTAATGTTAATTCAGTTCATGATGCCAGGAGCACAGGAAAACGTTTAAAGAAGCTAAAGTCCTAGGTTAGAAGGAGGGTGGTGATTCTACAGTAGTGTGCACCAGGGCAGGGGACAATTTGGGATAACCTCAGTAAATCCAGGAAGCAAATTGCAATTTTGACAGGACTAACAGAGTGACCTGGATTGTTACCAACAAGAATATGGACATGAACTACCCAAAGCCCCATCTACACCTGGTATTAAGATGCAACTTTAACGATCCAACCAAAATGATAATCCTAGATGTAACATCTGGGATATCCCTCCAACCAACCCCAGGCTGCCCTATACCTCTCTATATCAGGCTGATGTTGTAGAGGTGTGGGTCTGCTTCCTCAGATCATATGTGTTAGGTTTGGTCTACAGCTGGGGTGAAGGAGGACCAGTACACCTCAGGCCTCCATCAACCCCCCTTCCTCCTATTATCCTTCCATAACCCTCCTCATCGCTTCTCCAGTTTCTTGAACTTGGCCTCTGCAAAGAGACAGACAAAGAGATGAACTCAACTTCCTGCAGCCAAGTCACACACACACAGGAGAAGTGTCCAGGGGAAGTGTATTTTTAGCTGTTGATTTGGGACAGTGTGCTAGCGCTCTCTGCTGTTGGAGCTCAGGGTGGAGAGGTAAACTCAAACAGCAGAGGGTGTTCTCAGGCTGTCCCAAATCAAAGCCCTAACATTCATGTTGAGCTGAACACTGGAGCATGGCTATTATTAGTACATCTGCAATAGAGTCTGATAACACATGCTAATAAAGATGCCATAGAGACTCAGACTGAGAATACAGATATGTATTTATATCGACCACTTCTTCTCCCTAGTCAGTCTGGTGAGGGTTACACACTGGAACTCAGTAGGCTGTTCTCCCCTTACAGCCCTGGTATAAATATAGACCTGCAATATGACTATATGGTCTGTGTCTCCACAGGCATGCTACTCTGTGTGTGTGGGTGTGTCTGTCTTACCCAGCTTCTTGGAGTAGGTGTCCAGTTTGTAAGCGGCCTGCTCCAGAGATGACACTTGTTCCTCTATTTGATTTATCTGGTCTAAGTAGGGCTGCAGGCTGGCGTCTGCAACACACACAATAAAAATAAAAAAGTCAGCTAAATTAAGGTTATATTTTGTTTTCTGTGTGAATTTCATCCCCTTCACGTTTGAAGGGCTAATAAACATACACTTGTGGTTGAGGTCCTGCAGGTTCCTGGTGATGTTGATGCTGATGTCTTTCATCTCCATGTACTTCAGACTGGTCAGCTTGTTCATGTTCTCCAGTAGATGATAGTCCTCACAGGTGCCTGGGAGAGGAGGAAAACGGGGGAGCATGAGAATGAGATTTTCTCCACAACAGGAGATTTTTATGACAGTTGTTGTTATCCTGAAGACAAGACAGTATATAGTTTGCGACTATATAGGCCTGTATAGACAACATAGATGGAGAGACAGACAGAGGGAGACAAGCAGACATGCAGGAAGACAGACAGATATACAGACCAGTGAGTTCTCCTTGTAGGAAGACAGCCATCTTATCGAACATGTCTGTACAGAGTTCATTGATGTCTGGCTCTGCTGGCTCTACAGCCTCCTCTGCAGTCTCCACCCCACCGTCACCTACACACAGACATATAGTAGTTACACCATATTCATTTCTGAGCAACATCCCACCTCCTGATGATGTTGCTGGCCACTCACTCAGATTTTAACTAACAGGTCTCAAAGTCCTCCAAGGAGGAAGGACGAATTTGCCACTCCCTTAGTAGGCCTACTGCATTCTAATGTGTTGCAACATAACAAGGTACTAACACCAAACTCATCTGAGCAGATAGATGGCCACAGAGCAATCAAATAGCTAACTAGCTACGTTTCTAATCTTCTTCCTTTCAATAACTAAAACAGAAACAGCGCATCAACATGCATCCAGGACGTCTCTATTCGTCCATCTGTGTTTGTAGATCTGTTACCATTAGAGGGCGTATTGACTTTGGAAGCCAAAACAGCCAACCATCTTTAAACGTGAATCGATTAAATTGCGGTACGCTTCTAGAAACATAAAACCCTCTTTCATATCACATCAAAAATAAATAATACATGCAAAATACATACAATTACTGTACACTATTTTTAACAGTTGCAGCCGACAGTATTTTTTAGTGAAAACATGTTTGTGGCATCTGTCTTACATTTACACACAAGTGTTCAGCGATACAGATAATTAGTACAGGTAGTCCACTGTCTCCATCCGTTTTCTGTAAACAAGCGCTGTAACATGGAAATATGGCCACATGGGAACCCTAAACGTAACCTTTTTTATTATGTGTCATTTCTCGCCGATCTGAAAGATAAGTTCTTTATGTTATTCAGACCGAGGCTATCGGCTCTTAACCTCCCCCTGAAGACCCCTTAGTCCAATGACTCTTCGGTGTAATGGAACTGAGTCATGATCAAGGGCTAGCTAGAAGCTAGCTTGCGAGCACCACTCACTGCTGTTGATGGGCTTCTTGGGCGCCGCAGGCACAACCTCCTGGCCCTCAGAGGTAGTCTCGCCAGGCTCTCCTCGGGGTTCTGAGCTCCCTCCCAGGCTGAGGACGGTGGGATGGGCCAGGGAAACTCTGGAGATGCTGTCCATCGCAGCAGCCTCCTCTCCCGTGGCCGCCATTTTGCCTCTTCGCCAGTCACATGATGCAACGCTTCACGTGACATTTATTATTTTCCGCCCCCTCCAATTCCGAATTCGAGCCACACCCTTCCCCTTGACAGGTGCCTCACCATAGCACAAACAATAATACCACGATTAATGTAGCTATAGTGTTCCTATTCATATTGATTGATAGTTTTATATTCTATTGTTTTCAGATTGTTCGAGTGTAACGTTAGAGAGCGCGAGCTTTCCATGCTGATTTGCCTGTATTAATGTTGTATTATGAACACTTCGAATCAGTGTGAATCATGTTAGTTTGAAGTGTTTGCAGAGCTAGTCAACCTTACGTTATGTTTTGGGCTAAAAAGGGGGCTCCTCGGTCCTCTGTTCTGGTAATGGGTGGGTCAGGATGGTGACGCTCTACGCAGGAAGCGTCCAGTGAACCATCGTGACAGCCTGTGTGTGACTGTAAACATGGCGCCGTGCACGGCTACAGGGCTGTGCTGTTTTACACCCCGTTTCTAGCTAGCCTGAGACGCACACAACCTAACCATGGAGACAGAAGAGGAACAACACATGACGACCCTCCTCTGCATGGGTTTCCCAGATCCTGTTGCTATACGTAAGGCGCTACGCCTGGCGAAAAACGACATCAACGAGGCTGTGGCGCTCCTGACCAACGAAAGCCCCGGGCTTGGGTATGGATATGAGCCGATGGAGAGTGGCCCTGCCCCGGGCCCCTGCCCCAGTGGAGACGGGGAGACCAGCGGGCGGACTGGGACTGGAGGGTTTGACCCACCTCCCGCTTACCACGATGTGGTGGAGAGTGAGGTAAGGCTGAAGGATGGTAGCTCGCTGGCTTCGTTAGTTAGCTAGAACACCATCACCAAGCTAGTTAGCATCAAAAGCTAGCGATGCCGGCTAGATAGGGAGAAAGGGCTCGCTCATAGCATTCCAAAGCGCGCTGCACTCATGCCTTGCTGTCAAAATAGGGAGGGAAAAAGCGCGGCTTGCGCTACTTAATTTCTCAATTGTCGGGCTGCAAAATTCGACAGACTCCGGCTAGTTGAATTGCATATTCAGTACTTTGATGATCAGTATTGAAATTGGGTGCACTAACCAACATCAGAAACGTAGATGTGCCTAGCTTGTTGGTTACTGTAGCTAGCTATCCCAGCGCTTGGGGGAGGGGATATGGTCGATGCGCGAATCTACATGGGCAAACCAGCGGGTTGGTTAACTTTAAACAACTAGTTAGTGTTTTGCAATAGTTGCCGATAAAGGTCTGCAGAGAGTGAATGTGGTGATCTCCGCACTCTTGGGAAAATGCACGTCTGCATACAACTGAGTAGAATATAGTGGAGCTACCTTACCAACGTAGCTACGCTAGCTGGCTAAATAGCGGTAACGTTACTAGAGGAGTGAGACGCTGCGATTTCGCAACCGCCTGTGGCTAAACTGATATGGCCATTTTGTGCTAAACATTTTATAATCAAAGCTCTTTAAACTGTTCCTAGTCCACTGACAATGTGATGTCTCACGTACCCGTCAGAACCACAGGTCTACATTTCTGAACACCAGCTTGCCAGAAGATACCGAGCCTACCGTTATGCTTGTTTACACTGAGCTGCACTGGTGTTGGAACACAATCATGGTTACATACAAGTGGAATTGGCAGCGTTTTAGCAACATGAAATCTTATAAAAATCTCTTCAGATACAACGGCAGGAAGAATGTGACACTTTTAAAAACATTTGCTGACAAGCGAGCGCTTAGATATGGTCATTTTCACGTTTTCATAAATTCATAGAATGTTTGTGAATGAGGTATAGTAAGGCATTTGTGAAAATTCTATAGCAATATAGAATGGGAAAGCAGCTGTGCGTTTGGACAATTAATAGACACTACAGTAAATAAAATGTAATAAAAACATCAGTCTTGTCCAGGACCAGATTCTACGCAGACCAGTGCACCATAGCCAATCAGAGCTACAGTAGGCCTATATGCAAATAAACCATTTGCCACACAGGCCTGCCATCATTCACTTTGAACTGGACTGTCTTTACAGGCAGTAGCAACAGAGCGATTTTAGATAATTAGAACGCATTTGCCAAAAGCTACAAAATACACCTGAATGGATTTCTGCAAATATGTAAATACCACAGGAGTCTTATATTTTGGAACTTCACAGTCCTATTGATCAAACCATGAAAAGTTAGGCTATCTCTCACTCAGTTGCTTATGCACATCAACAACAACAAAAAGATCAACAACTAATGCTAGCCAGAGCGAGATGAGGTAAAATATAATGAGGGAACATTGGATAAACCCTCTCAGTTTGTTGGCCATCAAAATTGCACTGATAAACGATGGGGAATAGTAGCCTGCTCGTTCTTCTGCAGCTTGCCTTCCAATGCATGCTTGTCCCAACCCATGTTTTGACAACTGAATGGGAACTTGCCTGCCCACCCATTTGATCGATGCCAAATGCATTTGATATGCTAACTGTGGATAACAGTCATTCAAGTTCAGCATAACTAGCTAGCTAGCAAAGCGATTCACATTTCTTGCTAGCTAACCAAATGACACCTGCAGCTCTAGCTATAGCCACCGAAAAAACGATGTGAGGGGAAAAAGTCGGTCACTCACCCACTCCTCCAATGACATCACATCCTCCCAGAAGCTAGCTAGTTAACATTAGGCTCTGTGTTTTTAGCTTGCTAAATAAATAGCTAGCTACGTAAATAGATACGTTAGCCCAGGGGTCTCAAACTCAATCAGCGCACAGGCCGTATTGAAAAAAACAAATTCACAGGCCAGACATAGCCAATTTGTTTTACAAAAAAAACTTGCAACTGCGACCCAAACTGGCCATTGTTTTATTAGAAAAAATTTGGCCCTTTTTATAATGTCCACTTATGTACATAGGATGTTGTATAGCATTTTAACATATTAAAACAAAAGAAGAGATACATAATATTTGTCCAGCCTTTACTGCTATGCTTGCAGATGTGCATAATCAAAAAGTATTTCATAACTCCAAATAGCAAATGTACCGATAGGATGTTGTAACATTTAGCTCAGTTGGTAGAGCATGGCGTTTGCAACGCCAGGGTTGTGGGTTCGATTCCCACGGGGGGCCAGTATGAAAATGTATGCACTCACTAACTGTAAATCGCTCTGGATTAGAGCGTCTGCTAAATTACTAAAATGTAAATGTAACTTTTTGGAGACCAGACCAAATTCACATAGAAATGTGAGTTATAGATCTATCATTCTACTTGAAAGCAAGTCTAAGAAGCGGTAGATCTGTTCTAATTTTGGTTATGGAAAATATATTTCATAGCAGTTTAGATGGTTCAATGATTCTCTACACTATGCTAGCTTATTTTGTCACATAAACTGAAATTAGACGAACTATTAGAGTTTTAGCAACCAGGAAATACTGGAGCAATTTCTGCATAGATCAACTTTAAAACATTTAAAACATTTTTTTGCACTGCATGGATCACCGGTGCGGTTGAATGTATGGTGCACTCAAAATGTATTGTATACTGAACAAAATCATAAATGCAACATGTAAAGTGTTGGTCCCATGTTTCATGAACTGAAATAAAAGATCCCAGAAATTTTCCATACGCACAAAAAGCTTATTTGTCTCAAATGTTGTGCACAAATTTGTTTACGTTCCTGTTAGTGAGCATTTCTCCTTTGCCAAGCTAATCCATCCACCTGACAGGTGTGGCATATCAAGAAGCTGATTAAACAGCATGATCATTAAACTGGTGCACCTTGTGCTAGGGACAATAAAAGGCCACTCTAAAATGTCACACAACCCAATGCCACAGATGTCTCAAGTTTTGAGGGAGTGTGCAATTAGCATGCTGACTGCAGGAATGTCTACCAGAGCTGTTGCCAGAGAATTGAATGTTAATTTCTCTACCATAAGCCGCCTCCAACGTCATTTTAGAGAATTTGGCAGTACGTCCAACCAGCCTCACAAGCGCAGGCCTCACAACCGCAGACCACGTATAACCACACCAGCCCAGGACATCCACATCCGGCTTCTTCACCTGTGGGATCGTCGGAGACCAGCCACCTGGACAGCTGATGCAACTGAGGAGTATTTCTGTCTGTAATAAAGCCCTTTTGTGGGGAAAAAATCATTCTGATTGGCTGGGCCTGGCTCCCAAGTGGGTGGACCTATGTCCTCCCAGGCCACCCATGGCTGCACCCCTGCCCAGTCATGTGAAATCCATAGATGAGTTCCTAATGGATTTATTTCAATTGAATGATTTCCTTATATGAACAGTAAAATCATTGAAATTGTTGCATGTTGTGTTTATATTTTTGTTCAGTATAGTTGAGTAGCCAGCCTAGGTTACTGCTCAAATGTTGCTGTAATAGGCCTACATGTTTCTCCTTTGCATGTTGTTTTGTTGCAGGTTTAGTTTTTATTCATTGGCAAGCTTTAAAAACCGAAGCTAGACTGCAACAATTTAATAGCCTGTACACTTTCCCTGCGCTGTAAACGGGCACACTAAAGCAGCGCAATTGACGTTGAATTCACCGATGCAAGCGCATCAGGTGGTCCTCTGTAGCTCAGCTGGTAGAGCAGGGCGCTTGTAACGCCAAGGTAGTGGGTTCGATCCCCGGGACCACCCATACAGTCATGCGTGCATACATTTTTGTGTAAGTCGCTTTGGATAAAAGCGTCTGCTAAATGGCATATTATATTATAATTTCATAATGTAGATGACTCAACTGCTGACTCATTTATACTCGCTTGTGTGTCCTATTCGGCCCGCGGGCCTTGTGTTTGACACATGCGCTAGCCTATTAACCACATTATGACTGACTTGTGATCATTGTCCTTGCTAATTTGATTGTATTGACATTCCCAGCCTTAGTTACAGTCGTCAGTTTTTTGTTCAAAATATTGAGTCATTGAAACAGTGCATCTCGAATGGGTGGAGGCAGCAAACGATCTACCTGACAACCTGATAGCAATATTCTTTGGACTACTAAGAAATGTATTGGTGAATTATATTCATCATGCATTGACGGCCTACACCGGGTTTGGCCGGTGTAGGCCGTCATTGTAAATAAGAATTTGTTCTTAACTGACTTGCCTAGTTAAATAAAGGTTAAATAAAAAAGAAATACAAAAAACTGCATCCATCTATGCTGCCAACAATGCCTTACTGTACGTCATGGAATTTTTTGTAAAATCGAACTATTTTGTAAACCTCTTATAAAGTTGGTTTTGAAGCATAAACTGGGAATTTCATATTTTTGACTGATGTTATGATTGTCTGTTTGTTTCATATCTGCAAAGTAGTTAAAACGTTGTCAGTTCCACTTTAAAGGCTCCTCATGGTCAATCCCATACTATCTCTAACCGGCACAGCCAGAAGAGGACTGGCCACCCCTCAGAGCCTGGTTCCCCTCTAGGTTTCTTCCTAGGTTCCTGCCTTTCTAGGGAGTTTTTCCTAGCCACCGTGCTTCTACATCAGCATTGCTTGCTGTTTGGGGTTTTAGGCTGGGTTTCTGTATAGCACTTTGTGACATCTGCTGAAGTAAAAAGGGCTTTATAAATACATTTGATCGATACAGCATTTACTGTGATGGGGCCTCCACAGAAGTCAGAGCATTCATACTTCTTGCGCTTAAATTGGTCTGCACCGCAGCACTCGTAGTGATTCAGGGCTAATCTCTACAACCATCCAGCTAATTACAAGCAACTGGCTAAACGAAAAGACAAGACCTTACCTCTTCTGAGATGTTGGAGTCCGTTTCCCGGTGCTTGACATAGGAGCTCAGCCAAGATAGCATGAAGTAAAAAGACTGCACAGTTTTCCCACCTGCATCTCCATCCCAAATCTCCCCATTGCCCCCCAAGCAAATTTAGCCTAAGTTTAGGCTATTGTTTCTATGTGTATTTCACACTATGTCCAGGTAAAAATTGGAGTAGAATGCTTGTATGGATGTCAACCCCAATACATGTTCATGTCATCAATCAACTGCATTACAGTTAAAAACTACTTTGACTACAACCACCAATTTCGGTATGCTAGCTATGCTACCAGCTTATGCAAATGGCTGTTAGCATTTAGCAGTCACTTTTTCTACACCTGAAAAGGGACGACTTCTAAATGTTATGCAGTGAAAACAGACAAATATATCCAAATCGGATTTTAGTAATCACATTGTGGGCCTGTTACAATGCCTTTATCATGACGGATTTGACAAATATCCACTTTGTTAGATCAGATTTGTTAAATTTGCGCCAATCCACCATCCTTCTATCCCCCACGGTCTACATTCCATTGACCTCTTTACCGCATCTATTCCCATTACCTCCCCGATCTCTTTCCAGGAGATCTCTTTCCAGGAGTTTTTCGTGTCTTTGAAATCCCTACACAAGGTATCATAAAGATTTGTATTTATTTGTGAAGTTGTTCTGATAGCCTTTCTTCAAAGTTCTCCATGTTTGTTGTCAAGGAAGTGAGTTTGCGTTTATACAGGATGTACCGCCTCCACCTACCGTGAACCAATTATGTCAATGCGGAGCTATACGGAGCCCTCCATATTGTTACAACATTTGGGAGGCGCACAGCATCGCCGTACAGAGCTCATTTTGGCCTCTGCAAGCCTCTGGAGGTTCCGCAATTGCGTCACACCCTCTGTACGGAGCCTCCGGACCGCAATGCAGGATCAAACATAAATTGGCCTTTAGACACCGTGGAGCTGGCGCAAGATATGGGTCGGAAACTTACCTCAATGCAGGGATGAGATTAATCCAATATTGGACTAAAGGAGCCTAACGTTACTCCTTAGCCCATGTTCTGTTTAAAGGCGAAATTGCTCTGCTAGCCAAAACCGACAAATACTTAATCTAAACGTGAATAGATTCTCAATTGCGGTACGGTTCTAGAGATTATAAAGTAATAATAATATGCCATTTAGCAGACGCTTTTATCCAAAGCGACTTACAGTCATGTGTGTATAAATTTTTACGTATGGGTGTTCCCAGGGATCGAACCCACTACCCTGGCATTACAAGCGCCATGCTCTACCAATTGAGCTACAGAGGACCACAGGGAAGGAAATAATTTCACAAATACAAAATACACACAATATGGCAGTGTGGGAATACTAACCCTATAAACGTGTGTAGCAATTTAACCTTTAGTGTTTAGAAAATGATTTCTCACTGATATGAAAGATAAGGTCCTTTATGTTTCCAAAACCGTACCGTAAGTGATGCGTGTCAATGTTCAGACCGAGCGTCTGGGCTCTTAACAAAACTCCCCCGTACAGAAGACGCCTTCATCCATTGACTCTTATGTGTAATCTAATGGAACTGAGAGTCATGATCAAGGGCTAGGATGGGACATGCCACTGTACTCCAAATTGTACCTTTATCCATACTGCTCCATCGAGAAGATTGAAATACATTTACATTTTAGTCATTTAGCAGACGCTCTTATCCAGAGCGACTTACAGTTAGTGAGTACATACCTCATTTATTATTTATTTTTATACTGGCCCCCCATGGGAATCGAACCCACAACCCTGGCATTGCAAACACCATGCTCTACCAATTGAGCTACATCCCTGCCGGTCATTCCCTCCCCTACCCTGGACGACGCTGAGCCAACTGTGCGCCGCCCCATAGGTCTCTCGGTCGCGGCCGGCTACGACATAGCCTGGAAAATACTGCTGGTTTTCCTGGAAAACTGACTTTTCGTCCTCATTCTAGCTAGCAGTAGCCACCGCAGCCATTTTGGAATTCGATTCTCACGATTCTATGATTTTATTGCGATTCGATGTTCCAAACATATTGCTGCTGCAGAGGGACAAGGGAGAGCCATGATAAAATGAGTTTTGATCAGTCATGGAAATAAATGCTCTAAACAAATTGTCTCCCTATTGAAAAATAATTTGGAAAAATACTGGAATTTTGGTACAGCAAACTAGCAACAAAAAAAAATATTGCGATATTGTCAAAACGATACGACATATCATCTAAAATAATATCCCAATACGCAACTGTATCGACTTTCTTTCCCCCCATCACTAGTGGCATATCCCATATCTGCATTGAGGTACGTTTTCCGACCCATATCTCACGCTGGCTCCACGGTGTCTTAATGTAACCATGATTCCGTTCCGACCTCAGTGCAGCTCAATGTAAACAAGCGTAACTGTAGGGTCGGTATCTTCTTGGAAAAACACCAGCATAGCTGCAGTCTTAGCGAACTAGCTAGCATCAAATGTTTCCAGCTAGCTATTTTCTGAACATTAACGTTACAATGCCTGCAAATACAACTAGCTATCTAGGTAAGCGCTTATCAAAACACTGTTCAATAAGCACCTACCTAGCTATCTAGTTAAAATACACGCTGATTGGAGACATCAGCATGTATTTCTGAATCTCAGTGTGTCACTAGAGTTTTGCATCTAATGCATTGATTCAGTATCGTATACAATCTCACTGTTTCATCATCCTGACATTTGATCGGTTGTTTGACACAATTGTCCTGTGACGACCTCAGCTGGAGGACAGCTGTCAATCATGTACAGAATACAGCTGTCAATCATGTACAGAATAGGGGGAGGGGGTGGGTGCTTCAACAGCAGGTCAACAGTTGTCTGTTTTCACTCAGTAAATGCCATGCATAGAGAATGCACACCTGGAGATGCAGTAGTGCAAATAATTTGACTTCCAAACTGGACTGGTGAAGGTGAATGGTTATGGCTCTCACTTATCCAGTTTGCTCAGATCAGTGCTAATGAAGAAGAAAATGCCTCAGTAGACTATTGAAAGGAAGGAGAGGAGAGGAAGCCACTGTAGTGAGGATGAAGCTAGGGGAGGAGAGATGAACGGCAGAGGAGCAGAGAGGAGAAGAGGAGAGGAAGCCTAATGCCTAATGTGTAGCGGCCACCAGGTGTGTATCTCTCTAGGGTTAGGGTGGGTACGTCTCTGTTCGCTACACACAGTAGATCATGTCAGATGTATTCATCGCTGTGGGAAAAAGTGTGTAGGGTGACGTTGATCACCAGGGTGTGGGCATGTGTGTGTCTGGTGTTGTTGATTTAGTGGGATGTTTCTGTGCTGAAGACAAGCGGTCCCTAAGAAGAAACATGACACCGGGGTTACATTCAGTAGGGCACAGTGTTGCAAAATGTTCTGAAATGTTTTTAAATGTACCCCATTTTCCAGGAACAGTCTGCACTGTGACATCAAAGCAGCCTTGTTTTGTTTTTTAATTAAATGTGTCCGTCCAGGTTAGATTTGAAAAATATTTCACATTCAGACCATTGTGCAAGACACCCTCCCTCCCTCCATCCCACTCTTTCTCCTCCATGCTCTCTCCCTCTCCAGCTTGTTATGCATCTCTGCTGTTTGTGCCTTAGGAGGCATGTCACAGCTCTGTGGCCCTGCGTTGCCATTCTAATTATAGCTTTAGACACACACACACACACACACACACACACACACACAGTCTCATATGCCAGACTTACTGGGGGCTCAGTTACTTAGCTGCCCTGCACAACATACACACACACACACACACTGCAACACACACTCCCATAAAAACAAACACACCGGAAAGACACAGACACCACACCCTGTCCCCCTGAGAGAAGCCCAGAGCTTCCAAACAACACTAGTCCTGTTATTGTTACTGTGTTAATAGGCCTAATGCTGACAGGAAACAGTGCTAACAGTCTATTGGATCAGCAGTAGCTAGTTACTACTTGGGGATGTTTTTCTATCTATTAACCCAGATGTATCTATTTCTAGACTAAAACATCTTTCTATGGAGATTCTCCTATAAACATGCTTAGTGATCCTGGAGTTGACTCAATCTGGGAAACTGGCCACTTGTGTCTCCATAGTTAATCCACAGTTATTCTGTAAGCGGCAGGTCAACAGTTGTCCATATTTCTTAACCTCAGAAAGAGGTATCTGATTGGACTGTGCTGTTCAGAGGTTTCTGATTGGTAGGTGCTCCCCAACAGTGGAATGTTTGGCTGTTGACCTTTGTGTCTTAGAGAAAGGCTCATCTCCATGACTCCCTCCATCCATCCATCCAGAGTTCAACTTTCAATTTCTTTCTATGAAGGAGGAGTGCTGAAACCTGACGCTTCTCTCTCCCTCCCCCTCCCTCCCCCTTCCTCCTTCCATCCATCATATATTGGTATGCATTACTGAATGGGCAGAACACACACACACACACACACACGCTCTCCTCTCTCTCATCCTGTTGACACTGTCATAAAGCATTATAAGTACAGTAGAACTATAAAGTGTTTGTGTTTCAGAGGAATAATGATGAGAATGGGAACTGTTCCGGGAGCAGTATGGAGTTCCCCACCACTAACCTGTATGAACTGGAGAGCAGAGTGTTCACTGACCACTGGTCCATCCCCTACAAGAGAGAGGAGTCATTGGGCAAATGTCTGGTCGCAGCCACCTGCCTAGCTAAACACGGTAAGAGAGAGTGAGTGAGTGTGTGGGCTTTGTGTCATGCTGTCCCTGTTGAATGCTTTTCACACATTCTTATTTTACACCCAGTTGCCAAACAACTAGAGTTTCTCCCTCGCTTTCTCCTCCTCTCACTTTCTTCCTCTCACACTCTATCTCTCAGGTCTGGCGGATGCAGATGAGAACTGTAAGCGGTTTATGGACCGGTGTATGCACGAGGCCTTTAAGAAGGTGAGTTGTGTGTGTGTGTGTATGCATGCATGAAGCCTTTAAGAAGATGAGGTGTGTGTGTGTATAAACATAACGCTTATGAGTGAGCGCTGTATAACCTGTTTATAACGCTTCCTTTCTTGAAACTGGCATTTTTTAACAAGACCGTTTGGTGTAATTTTGCCACTTTCACTGACTCTCCTTCCTCCTGCCCTCGCTCTCCCCCTTCTTGTCCCTCTCTAGCTCCTGACCAGTAGTGCGGTCCATAAGTGGGGGACAGAGATCCATGAGGGGATCTATAACATGTTGATGTTACTGGTGGAACTGGTGGCTGAGAGGGTCAAACAGGAACCCATACCTGTTGGGCTGATGGGAGTACTGGCTATGGTGGGTATACAAACACCTGTTGCATACAGTATATATACACACACATGCTGCTGCATCACATCTACACACCTCCCTTACAAAGGATAACCTTTCTTCCTCGCTCTCTCTCTCGCTGTGTGTAGGCCTTTAACCCAGACAATGAGTACCACTTTAAGAACCGTATGAAGGCATGTCAGAGGAACTGGAGCGAGGTGTTTGGAGAGGAAGCCATGTTCGCTGTTTCACCTAGCAACAACTACCAGAAGGTGAGGTCACGTGGTTGTTGCTCTAGGACAAAAAAAATGACTGACTGATCACCTATGTATGTGTGCTTTTATTTCTACAGGAGCCTCATGGTTGGCTGGTAGACTTGGTCAATCTGGTAAGCCCCACCTACACACACACACACCTCTGGGATAGTTCAGTGTTGTCGCTGTATTTAGCGATGTGACTGTGTGTTTCTGTCTCTTCATCTCTTCATGTCCTTTCTTTCTTGTTCTCTCTCTAGTTTGGAGAGATGGGAGGGTTCACTGCTATCCAGGCTAAACTCAATACAGAGGAGATAGAGATCGGGGTAAGGACACACAAACACACTCACACAGTCCTGAAGCCTCGCTCAGTTAAATGCTCCGTTGTGTGGCTACTCTTAGGCCTCCTTGTGTGAATCCTTCCTTTGAGGATTCTAACCGGAACCACACACACATTGATCCCTCTCACAGCCCAGACGATCTCCACCATTAGCATGTTAATCTCTCTCTGGCACCGGAGGATGCAGCTGCCCAAGCCCCCCCCCCACCCTCTCACCCGTGGAACCCACTCTGGTTTTTGAGAGTATGTTTGTATGTAACTGTCTGTCTTTTTGCAGTGTGTGTCCGCTCTGGTCCAGCCTCTAGCTGTGTGTGCAGAATACCTCAACTCCAGCCTGGTGCAGGTAAGGCATTTCCCTCCAACACACACTAAGACACGCATCAAACGGTACATCCACAGCATTGTTGATTAGTTAATGAGACTAATAATGACGTGTGTGTGTGTGTGTGTGTGTGTTTGTAGCCCATGTTGGATCCTGTTATCCATAAGATGATCACCTATGTTCAGAACCTTGAGGAGAAGGATCTCAAAGACAAGGTACCACAATACCCCCTGCTCTATATACCCACAATGCCCTGCTCTACATACCCTGGGAAGCTCTCGTAAACTTTAGAAATATTAGTGTCCAACGTCCAAAATGGTTCATTACGAGCTTCCAAGTCTGAAGCAACTCTTTGTTTCCCAGTCGGACTGTTCAGAGTTTCCTATGAACCCAGCATCAGGTGATGGCTCATAATTTGTATCTCCCCCCCCCCCCCCCCCCCCTCCCCCTCTCCCCCTCTCCTGTAGAGGCTGGTGAGCATCCCAGAGCTGCTGTCGGCCATCAAGCTGCTGTGTATGAGGTTCCAGACCGCCCTGGTCACTGTGGTGGACGACCTGCGCCTGGACACTCTGCTACGCATGTTGAAGACTCCTCACTTTTCCACCAAAATGAACTCCCTCAAAGAGGTGAGAGGTCAGGGGTTACAATGTCAAGGGTTAGAGGTCAAACTCAAACAGGATGCCTTTGTCTAGTTTAGATCTAAACACTCCTGGTGAGTTCAGTTCAGCAGCGCTGTTGTCGCTCTCATTATTATGCTATGGTCCATGTGGACGCTTCTTTTTATATACAGTTGAAGTCGGAAGTTTACATACAGGTTGGAGTCATTAAAACTTGTTTTTCCAACAATTCTTTACAGACAGATTATTTCACTTATAATTCACAGGATCACAATTCCAATGGGTAAGAAGTTAACATACACTAAGTTGACTGTGCCTTTAAACAGCTTGGAAAATTCCAGAAAATGATATCATGGCTTTAGAATCTTCTGATAGGCTAATTGACATCATTTGAGTAAATTGGAGGTGTACCTGTGGATGTATTTCAAGGCCTACCTTCAAACTCAGTGCCTCTTTGCTTGACATCATGGGAAAATCAAAAGAAAACAGCCAAGACCTCAGGAAAAAAATGGTAGACCTCGGTTCCAGACTACGGTTTGCAACTGCACATGGGGACAAAGATTGTACTTTATGGAGAAATGTCCTCTGGTCTGATTAAACAAAAATAGAACTGTTTGGCCATAATGACCATCATTATGTTTGGAGGAAAAAGGGGGTCGCTTGCAAGCCGACGAACACCATCCCAACCGTTAAGCACGGGGGTGGCAGCATCATGCTGTGGGGGTGCTTTGCTGCAGGAGGGACTGGTGCACTTCACAAAATAGATTGCATCATGAGGAAGGAAAATTATGTGGATATATTGAAGCAACATCTCAAGACATCAGTCAGGAAGTTAAAGCTTGGTCGCAAATGGACAATGACCCCAAGCATACTTCCAAAGTTGTGGCAAAATGGCTTAAGGACAACACAGTCAAGGTATTGGAGTGGCCATCACAAAGCCCTGACCTCAATCCTATAGAAAATGTGTGGGCAGAACTGAAAAGGCATGTGCGAGGAATGGGCCAAAATTCACCCAACTTATTGTGGGAAGCTTGTGGAAGGCTACCCGAAATGTTTGACCCAAGTTAAACAATTTAAAGGCAATGCTACCAAATACTAATTGAGTGCATGTACACTTCTGACCCACTGGGAATGTAATGAAATAAATAAAAGCTGAAATAAATCATTCTCTCTACTATTATCCTGACATTTCACATTCTTAAAATAAAGTGGTGATCCTAACTGACCTAAGACAGGGAATTTTTACTAGGATTAAATGTCAGGAATTGTGAAAAACTGAGTTTAAATGTATTTGGCTAAGGTGTATGTAAACTTCCAACTTCAACTGTAAACTGTGTTTATGTGTGTCTAGGTGACTAAGCTGATTGAGGAGAGTACTGTGTCTAAGACAGTGAAGAATGCCATTGACACAGACCGACTGCTGGACTGGCTGGTGGAAAACTCTGTCCTTTCAATAGCACTGGAGGGTAAGGACAATATTAATGTTAACAATGGAACAACATATGACTATTATCTATGTTATTATATTATCTTGACTTGTGATTTCACGTAAGATAGACTAGTAATATAACGGTGGAGTGTGTGTGTGTGTGTATTTCAGGTAACAAAGACCAGTAATATAACGGTGGAGTGTGTATGTGTGTATTCCAGGTAACATAGACCAGGCCCAGTATTGTGATCGAATAAAAGGCATCATTGAGCTGCTGGGCAGTAAACTGTCTCTGGACGAGCTCTCCAAGATCTGGATGATCCAGGCAGGACAGTCGTCCACGGTGATTGAGAACATCCACACCATCATGGCTGCGGCTGCCGTCAAGTTCAACTTCGAGCAGCTCAGCCACCTGTTTGTCCTTATACAGAAGGTCTGTCTGTGTGCTTAGAAACGTCTCTGTGGGACAGTAAATTGTGTGTGTGTGTTTGCATGTGTTAGTAATGATTGGGTGTAACTTGTGTGTTCCAGAGCTGGGAGGTGGAGAGTGACCGTGTGAGGCAGAAGCTGCTCAGTCTGATCGGGAGGATTGGTAGAGAGGCCCGCTCTGAGGCCACCACAGGGAAGGTGCTGGAGGTGCTGTGGGAGCTAGCCCACCTGCCCACCCTGCCCACCTCCCTGGTACAGCAGGCCTCTGAGGAACACCTGGCCATCCTCACTGATGCATACGCTGTGAAGGAGACTGTCAAACGCTGCTACATCATCAAATGTATAGAGGACATCAAGAAGGTGAGAAACACACACACACTCTTTCTCTCAAGGTTGAAGCGCTCTGTCACTCACAGCCTTTGAGTTCGAGTTCAAGTCTAATATCAATTGAACACACACACACCCTGAATAAGTCAGTTTATGTTTATAGACTCAGACTGAGGAGGAGGGTAAAACCAGCGACACTCAGAGCTCATTTCTTACTGGCTCCTGGGGCAAGAAGAAAGCCAAAGAAAACTCATTGGCCAAAGTAAGAGAAGCCCCTCTCCTTAAAACTCTAATGACCAATCAGTATTCACCTACAATCTTCTCACTGCTCATACCAATCATCACGGGGGGGGGGGTTGATTGGTAACTGAATGATTGCTGCATTGTTGCTTTTAACAAGCGGTTTCAGTACTGTAGTGGGTGTCTAATTCTCTGTGGGTTGGGCCAGTCTTCATTGACGTTGTAAGGGGTATGTGTGTGAGTCAATGTGTGTGGGGTGAGGTATTGGATAAGTGATGTGCGTGTATGGTAGGGCTGTAACGATTCACCGACGCGCCCGACCCGGTTCAAGATCTGAGTGCATTGGTCCACGGAAACACAAAACGATCCAAATGTAGCATGCATCGGTCAGAAAATCCATTCAAACGTTATGAATCGCTGGTTCACAAAAATGTTTTGCTCAAATAACCTTCTTAAGTATGTGGACACCTGCTCATCGAACATCTCATTCCAAAATCATGGGCATTAATGTTATTTCACAGCCTCCACGGTCGTTGTTTTCTTTACCCTTTAGTTACACACACACACACACACACACACACACACAGTTCATTCCCTTGTTCTCAAGCTTGTCAGTTCCTCTGTCACATCATGTTTACCAGGCAGCGTGTTGCTGTGTGTGGTGTGGTGACAGACAGCCACGGAACGCAGCATCACAGAACACAACAAACTGGACAACAACAGCCTGTGGGGGGAGACAGACAGAGAAAGACAATGTTCCAGTACTATTAGACACCTTGCTTTATCCCCCTCCTCTCCTTCCTTCATCTACTCTATATTACAGCAGTCAGTCACAAAGGAGAGGAGGAAAGAATGCCTTTGTTTTATTCATATTGGAATGTGTTTAGTGAAGCCTGCAGAGAAGTTCTGACAGCACATCTTGTAGAATCTAAAGCCAATGCGTCATGAGTTCTAGCAGACAGGTCTTCACGTTGGGGTGGCATTTGCATCAGATGAAGTCTATTCAATGTTTGCCATTGTGATTGTTTCAAGGGTTATAGTATTATGTGTGTGTGCATGTGCCTTGCTGTATGAATGTGCAGTATGTTTGTGCATGCTTGCATGTCTTTGAGTGTGCGGAGACTTATATTTGTTTTGTGTCTGTGTGTGTCAGTATTCGTAAACTCTGTGACTCTGTCCTTCCCCAGCTCTGAGGACATTGAGTTCCCCTCTTAATCATCTCTAGTTTTTAGTTAATTCTCTCCCACAGAAAACAAATTCTGACATGCTGGAACACTCGTACACTACATGACGTGGTAAGTATGTGGACACCTGCTCGTTGAACATCTCATTCTAAAATCATGGGCATTAATATGGAGTTGGTCCCCCCTTTGCTGCTATAACAGCCTCCACTCTTCTGGGAAGGCTTTCCACTGATGTTGGAACATTGCTGCGGGGACTTGCTTCCATTCAGCCACAAGAGCATTAGTGAGGTTGGGCACTGATGTTGGGTGATTAGGCATGGCTTGCCGTCGGCGGTCCAATTCATCCCAAAGGTGTTCGATGGGGTTGAGGTCAGGGCTCTGTGCAGGCCCATCAAGTTCTTCCACACCGATCTCGACAAACCGTTTCTGTATGGACCTCGCTTTGTGCACGAGGGCATTGTCATGCTGAAACAGGAAAGGGCCTTTCCCAAACTGTTGCCACAAAGTTGGAAACACATAATTGTCTAGAATGTCATTGTATGCTGTAGCTTTTAAGATTTCCCTTCACTGGAACTAAGGGGCCTAGCCCGAACAATGAAAAACAGCCCCAGACAATTATTAATCCTCCACCAAACTTTACAATTAGCACTATGCATTGGGGCAGGTAGCGTTCTCCTGGCATCTGCCAAACCCAGATTTGTCTACCAGATGGTGAAGCGTGATTCATTGCCAATGGCGATGAGCTTAACACCACTCTAGCTGACGCTAGCCATTGTGCATGGTTGCCATTTTCATGAAGCTCCCGACGAACAATTATTGTGCTGACGTTGCTTCCAGAGGCAGTTTGGAAGTCTGTGGTGAGTGTTGCAACCGAGGACAGATGTTTACGCGCTTCAGCATTCGGCGGTCCCGTTCTAAGCTTGTGTGGCATACCACTTTGCGGCTGAGCCGCTGTTGCTCCTAGACGTTTCCACTTCACAATAACAGCAGTTACAGTTGACCTGGGCAGCTCTAGCAATTTGACGAACTGACTTGTTGGAAAGGTGGCATCCTATGACTGTGCTCTTCAGTATGGGCCATTCTACAGCCAATGTTTGTCTATGGAGATTGCATGGCTGTGTGCTCGATTTTGTACACCTGTCAGCAACGTGTGTGGCTGAAATAGCTGAATCCACTAATTTGAAGGGGTGTCCACATACTTTTGGCCATGTAGTGTATCTCATCTGTTGTGACAACTGCATCCTCCTTCAGTGTCGAACTAAGCATGTAATTGTGTTGATCTACAATCCATTTTGCATGCCGATCAACCCCAGGCAATATCAGCAACCTAGTCAAACTGTGCGCTGTGCGCATCTTCGCGCACTGACCAATGTGAGGTAGGCCTATTCCTGATCTGGCACATCTGCGTGTCACTTTCACCATTCAAATGTGTGACAACCAATGAAATTTGCTAGGTTATTTTCACAAAATGCACTGTTTTTCCAGGAATAAAAGTAGGCTAAGCTACCGCTGGAGACAACTCTCATCTGTGGCTATACAGTGCCTTGCAAAAGTATTCATCCCCCTTGGCGTTTTTCCTATTTTGTTGCATTACAACCTGTAATTTTAATTTAAATTGATTTTTATTTGGATTTCATGTAATGGACATACACAAAATAGTCCAAATTGGTGAAATGAAAAAAATTACTTGTTTCAAAAAATTCTAAAAAATAATTAACGGAAAAGTGGTGCGTGCATATGTATTCAACCCCTTTGCTATGAAGCCCCTAAATAAGATCTGGTGCAACCAATTACCTTCAAAAGTCACATAATTAGTTCAATAAAGTCAACCTGTGTGCAATCTAAGTGTCACATGATCTGTCACATGATCTCAGTATATATACACCTGTTCTGAAAGGCCCCAGAGTCTGCAACACCACTAAGCAAGGGGCACCACCAAGCAAGCGGCACCATGAAGACCAAGGAGCTCTCCAAACAGGTCAGGGACAAAGTTGTTGAGTACAGATCAAGGTTGGGTTATAAAAAAATATCAGAAACTTTGAACATCCCACGGAGCACCATTTAAATCCATAATTAAAACATTGAAATAATATGGCACCATAACAAACCTGCAAAGACAGGGCCGCCCACCAAAACTCACGGACCAGGCAAGGAGGGCATTAATCAGAGATGCAACAAAGAGACCAAAGATAACCCTGAAGGAGCTGCAAAGCTCCAAGGCAGAGATTGGAGTATCTGTCCATAGGACCACTTTAAGCTGTACACTCCACAGAGCTGGGCTTTACGGAAGAGTGGCCAGAAAAAAGCCATTGCTTGAAGAAAAAAAAGAAGCAAACACGTTTGGTGTTCGCCAAAAGGCATGTGGGAGACTCTCCAAACATATGGATAAGGTACTCTGGTCAGATGAGACTAAAATTGAGCTTTTTGGCCATCAAGGAAAACGCTATGTCTGGCGCAAACCCAACACCCCTCATCACCCCGAGAACACCATCCCCACAGTGAAGCATGGTGGTGGCAGCATCATGCTGTGGGGGTGGCAAACATTGCGGGGTGGTAGATGCCCTGTTTCTCTTATGGCTCAGTTCAGGTGCCTACATACACCATAGACATATAATTTACAACAGACATATACACACACACGAGAGATGTCAGCTCAGACAGATTCAGCGCAGAGATGCCAAGCTCATGAGCTCCATCAGCAGCAGATTTGAATATAGAATGGAAAATGAATGTTTTTATGCCACAAATGTTAATGCATCGAATCGTATTGCATCGAACTTAATCGCATCGATTCGTTCCTCTAATCAAACCGAATCGCACCGAATCGTTTCAAACTAAAACATATCATTCCTGTATCGTATCGGGCCCATGTATCTACACTGAACAAAAATATAAACGCATCATGTAAAGTGTTTGTCCTATGTTTCATGAGCTGAAATAAAAGATCCCAGAAATGTTCCATACGCACACAAAAAACTTATTTCTATCAAATTTGTGCACATCCCTTTAGTGCACATTTCTCTTTTGCCAAGATAATCCATCCACCTGAGGGTGCTACTCATCTAGTGTCTAACGTGTGTGTGTGTGTGTGTGTGTGTGTGTGTGTGTGTGTGTGTGTGTGTGTGTGTGTGTGTGTGTTTAGTCTTCTCAACAGGGCAGTCCCCAGGCAGTCTGGGTGGTTCCAGCTCTGCGGCAGCTCCATGAGATCACACGCTCCTTCATCAAACAGACCTACCAGAAACAGGACAAGGTACACACACATTACCCCTCACCCCCTCTCTTGCTAGAGAGCCCTTGTCCAAGATGGCAGCAGTCGACAGCATAAAAAACACATGAATACAGTACATTGAAGTGACGCATTTAAAACTAACAGACTAGAGCCGGACTGATATGTGATTTTTGCATCCGATTCCGATTTATAGAATGGAAATATTCACAGATAACCGATATATCTGGCGATATGTTTATTATTATAGCTGAAATAATAAAAAATAAAGTATCTGGATTGTGCTTAAAGCAGCCCTACAAAGATACTCAGAAAGTTGATTTCTTACATTTGAGGAAAGAACATTAATGTAAGCCCCACATAGAATTCAGAAGCACCAGAAATATTATATTTTTTTATGGTAAAGCTGTGTGTTGCTCTAGTCTAGTAAAAATAGGATAAACTGCACTGATTCCAGCTAAACATTTGCCTAGGCTCTGAAGAATGAGCTACCTCATACTAGCCAGCTGGAAAGCGTCATAGGACACATGTTCAATGTATTAGTATTTAGCTATGTTTTCTTCGATTGTAGGGCTGTAGCCACTCAATTCTGGTAGTTGCCACTTTAAGGAAAAACCTCAATCATGAAATTCACCGCTACCTCTCGCACCAAATGTTGCCTCAGTGCTATCTGGAATCCATGGGACGTCCCCTACAAATGGTTACGTTAAGGTTCGGGTTAGGGTCCCAAGGATCCAAGATAGTACCCTCCGTGAATGGCGTCAAGTAGTCTTACACAGCTAGTTAGCTAGCTAGCACTCGTCATGGAAATGGGGGTGATGATTTGCGAAACGTGAAATGGACCAGTCCCTATCCATACATCAAAACGTAGCTACGAAGTGCTACATTGTAACCTGTAAAGTTTTTGTTGTGTCTCTGAAAACATTAGAATAACAGAGCTTGAGGAATACCCTTCTCAATGAGCAAATATAAAACACCAGATTTAGCTGGTTTCACTAAAGGGCTGTAACGGCACATACTTTACATTTGGGCATAGCATCCACTGTTTGTCACGACACCCAACACCCTACCATGACATTATACGTAACCGTATATGGCCAATGCGCATTTTTGGCACTTTACTCAGCACTCACTGTAGAAACAGTAGTTAGTTCACGCTCCTCCCGGGTTGCCAGGTATAGCTCAAATTTGAAGCCCAATGCTACTTAAATCCCGCCCACAAAGCCTGAAAACTAGCCTAAAATGTTTTTCCTGCAGCAAGAGGGGAGTTGCCACATTTAACCATTAAACCCTTTTTCCATAAGGTTGACATTTTTCAAAGAAGAATGTCGACGTAACGACGTAAGAAGCAAAATTCAGATTTCCATCAAAATAATAATTATTGTGAGCTAACGTGACTAATAAAGGAATTTGAATATGCCGTAAGAGAAAATATAATTTGCCCTTATTAAACTCGCCAAATGTTTTTCCATCAATTTATGCTGATTTAACTTGTTTGACTGCTATGATTGTAAATAAATCCCCTATGCGCATGTGCATAACTATAGGAGAGTTTGAGGGATGAAAGTTGGACAGAGGGTCTCAAAATCTCTGCACAAGAAAGACTTGGACGAACTTCAAAATAATGTTAGGCTATTTTCTGGCAGTTGTGTTGTTATTATGTGCGATATGTTAAGACTACAAACTGTTATAAATTGCATATCTGCGAGATTGACTTGTCATTTCAATAGGCATAGGCTACTAAAATCTGTGTTTATGATTGTAATTCAACTTTGCCATGGTTTGGTTAGCTAGCCCCTGATAGCCTACAGTAGCCCAGGCAAGATGTAAGATGAACGATTTAGTAGCTTGCTTCGTTCAAATGAACAGACTAATTTATTTAACATGAATAGCGAGGCGATTTCGAGGTAAGTGCTTCTGTTGCCCAATAGCCTGCTGGAATAGGTTACTGTGGAAGGGGTCTTAATTTCAATCACTGAATCATATATATTAGTAATATGGATATGAACTGAATAGGCCTATGCTTGTCAACAACAGCCAGTGTTTTGTTTTTTTAAACCAGTAGCCTAATCTGACTGACTGTTACCTTCAATCTAATGCATTCTAACAACAGCTGATCGGCAATTGCGATAGAACTGTTACCATGATCACAGTTGATAACTTCCGATTTCATTAACTAAACATGGCCAGTAATAATTGCATAATAACACAAGGCTACAACAACAGTAAACTGAAGTTATAGGCTATTAATTAAATCCGTTTGCCAGCTCCAGGTAGGCTACACAAGTGCCACAAATTGATTTGCAACGACTCCAGTGATATCGTCATTTCATTAATAGGCTACGTAATGGCCAACAGATGTATCACTCTCCACTGTCAGTTTCATTGTGCAGCACTCGAGACCCAAGAACTGAGCATGTGTAAAACCCTTTGCTAGATATGGTTTTCCATAAACAAAGTTGATAATAGATTGCAGTTTAAACCACTTCTGGTGGGAGTTATTTCTTGATGCTCATCAGTTCTAGCGCGTTAATATGTTTGATGGGAAAAGGGTTGGAAATAGGTGTCTCCATAAAGACAATCTAAATAGCCTACCTACAACTGGTAAAAGGTGGTCATGACGTGTGCGCATGCTGCTCTATCTTCTCTCACTCACGTGACTCATCTGCCTGCTGCAGCGCTCAGTCTCAACACACACACCCCTCCGGACCTCCCCCTCCCCACCACTCACGCACTCAGCAACAGGCTGCCTCACTACCTGATGGTAAGCAGCAGCAGGTCACAGTGAAATATATATTTTTAAGAAAAATGACATGTCGGACACGGTGCAATTTAGAAGTAGTCCAAAAACCCGCGACCAATACATTTTCACCGGCGACATCGTTTTGAAAGTTGCCCAATTTTGCAGCAGAACCATGGACATGGCAACCCTGCCCTCCTCTGACTGGTGTAGTTGAGTTGGCCAGGTGGTAGTGTCCAGTCTTAAAGGCGCTGCATGGTCAATCCAACGTCTGCATTGGCCGTGCAGCATTTACAGTGATACGGCCTCTGCAGAAGTCAGGGCATTGATACTTCTTGCGCTTCTCGGAGCAGCGCAGAGCTGTTGTGAAGGAAGTTGTTAAGGCAGTAATTTTGTGTTTGTACAGGACCTCCCACCTACCATCAACCAGTCATGTCAATGTGGAGGTATATGGTGCCCTCCACATTGTTACAAAATTTGAGAGGCACACCCTCCGTACAAATCCGACCACATTTTGTATCAAGCTTAAATTGTCTATTAGTGTAGCGCGCCAAGGCAATATAGGCTTATAGCCATGTAAAGAGCGACCTCTTCAGTACAAATAATGAAATGCACAAAAAAGTCAACTTCTATGAACAACAGCTTTTTTTGGTGAACGTTTTCTCCGCATCTTATATCGGTTAAACGGCGATACAAATACATCGGTAAAAGGCTAATATCGGCCGACAATATCGGTCAACCAATAAATCGGTTGGCCTCTATTACAGACATCAAAAGCCACAGACACATCTTCATAGCACATGTGCTCCCCCAGCAGAGCATCATCCAGGACTTGAAGAAGAACTTTGAGATCGTCAAGCTGATTACAGGATCTCTGGTGGTCTGTCATCGACTAGCGGTGTCTGCCGCTGGGAACAATGGACTGACCGGTCACACATTGGTGGACGGACGATACACCTACCAGGAGGTACAGTACCCTCTGTGTGTGTGTGTGTGTGTGTGTGTGTGTGTGATTTGCTTTGGTAGAAGTTTATGTGGTTGAGATGATGAATTGAGGATTTTGATCTCTGTGAGATAAACACATGAAGTCCTTGTTGGTTCCTGACTCGCTCTCCCTCCCGCTCCAGTATCTAGATGGCCACTTAAGGTTCCTGGCCTTCTTCCTCCAGGAGGCCAGCCTCTACCTGGTCTGGAACAGAGCCAAAGAACTATGGGACTGCCTGGTCTCTGGACCCGAAGTCTGCGAGCTGGACAGAGAGGTACACACACGTGTTACATACTCTATATTACATAGTCTACTCTGTATGTATACACTAACTTTAACTGTGTGTGTGTGTGTGTGTGTGTGTGTAGATGTGTTTTGAGTGGTTCACTAAGGGCCAGCATGATCTGGAGAGTGATGTTCAGCAGCAGCTCTTCAAAGAGAAGATCCTCAAACTGGAGCCCTACGAGATTACTATGAATGGTGAGACACACAATCACACACACATTTGACACGTTATTTTGTTAACGTTTTTGTTGATGGCCCACTCTTAGAATATTATGTAGATCTTATGTAGTGGCTTTAACCAGTGTTTTATTTGGGATGTTTCAGGCTTTAATCTGTTTAAGACCTTCTTTGAGAACGTCAACCTGTGTGACCATCGCTTGAAACGCCAGGGGACTCAACTGGTGAGTCAGTCCAAACTAGGGTTGCCAAGGGAGAGCATATAACTAGTAACCAGTAAACTACCAGAATTTTTGTAACTTTCAAGGATTTTATCACATGATGACATGTAGTGGCATTTTGGGGTACTTCAGATTATCACAGGTGTTTGTAATCATCTCTGGTCCTCTGTGTGGTCTTATTATATGTAAAATATATACACTACCGTTCAAAAGTTTGGGGTCACTTAGAAATGTCCTTGTTTTCGAAAGAAAAGCAATTTTTTTGTCCATTAAAATAACATCAAATTGATCAGAAATACAGTGTAGACATTGTTAATGTTGTAAATGGCTATTATAGCTGGAAACGGCAGTCCTGTGTTCCAATGGCACGCCTCACAGGTCCTCAACTGGCAGCTTCATTAAATAGTACCCGCAAAACACCAGTCTTAACGTCAACAGCGAAGAGGCGACTCCGGGATGTTGACCTTCTAGGCAGAGTTGCAAAGAAAAAGCCATATTTCAGACTGCCCATCTTAATCTTTTATTTTTATTGGCCAGTCTGAGATATGTTTTTTTCCTGTGAGGCGCCTGTTCCTCAAACTAGACACTCTAATGTATTTGTCCTCTTGCTCAGTTGTGCACCGGGGCCTCCCACTCCTCTTTCTATTCTGGTTAGAGCCAGCTTGCGCTGTTCTGTGAAGGGAGTAGTACACAGCGTTGTACGAGATCTTCAGTTTCTTGGCAATTTCTCGCATGGAATAGCCTTAATTTCTCCGAACAAGAATATACTGACGAGTTTCAGAAGAAAGTTACAAATTTTAAATCAGCCGTTTCCAGCTACAATAGCCATTTACAACATTAACAATGTCTACACTGTATTTCTGATCAATTTGATGTTATTTTAATGGACAAAAAAATTGCTTTTCTTTCAAAAACAAGGACATTTCTAAGTGATCCCAAACTTTTGAACGGTAGTGTATATTTTGTAAAAATTGAATGACAAAGCTGTAAAACATTATCAATTCATTGTCAATTCATTCAGCATATTAGCATAAGAGGCTAACACTAGCATGACATTTAGGATTAATGCACCTGTGGGACATAAAAACCCTAACCCTGTTTTGTGTGTGTAGTGTGTGGAGCGGCTAGACCTGGCTGGGATGGACTTTATCTGGCGCATCGCCATGGAAACACCTGACGAGGAGATTGCTAACGAGGCCATCCAGCTAATCATCACCTACAGCTACACCAACCTCAACCCCAAGATGAAGAAGGTGTGTGTGTGTGAGGGGGAGTGGGGGGGGTTGGGGGTTGTGTGTAGCTGGGCTACAGTCTCTGGTATTCACTCTTTGTGTCTGTGTAGGATTCTGTGTCTTTACACAAGAAGTTCATTGCGGATTGTTACAAACGACTGGAGGTGAGTTCTTCATTCACTCACAACTATCAGATGGAATGTGTTTAACTTCTTTATATAAGATAATTACATACTTTGCTAATAAAGCTTAGTGAATTGATGAAATTCAAAGTCTCCTTGCCTTCTTCTTTCTCTCTCAGGCGGCCAGTTCAGCTCTAGGAGGGCCCACGTTGACTCATGCTGTTACCAGGGCAACCAAGATGCTGACGGCCACCACCATGCCGACTGTAGCCACGTCTGTCCAATCGCCTTCCAGGTCCACCAAGCTGGTGATCATTGAGAGGCTGCTGCTATTGGCTGAGCGTTATGTCATCACTATCGAGGTAATCCTCTCTCTCTGGCTTTGACATCACACTGACCAAGCAACTGGTTTTCACCCGCAACATTTTCACATGTAGTTACAAACTATTTACATTTGAGTGATGAGAAGGGGGGTGAAAGAATGAGATGGACACATTAAAATATTACTCTGTGTTTGTATGTGTAGGACCTGTACTCTGTGCCTCGTACCATTCTACCTCACGGAGCGTCGTTCAATGGCCACCCTGTCTCTCTGCATGTCACCTATGAGTCCACCAAAGACACCTTCACACTGGAGGCCCACAGTAACGAGACTATAGGCAGCATCCGCTGGAAGATCGCTGAGCATCTCAACTGTCCAGTCGACAACGTCCAGATCTTTGCCAACGACAGCGTGGTGAGTGTGTTATTTGTATCTTTGTCTGTGTGTTTGTGTTGTTGACTGAACAAAGTGTATGTGTGACAGCATAGTAAGCCAAAAGATGGAAGTGTGTCTCTGTATGTGTGACTGTATATCATATGTAACTATGTATGTGTGTTTTGTGTAACTCTCTCTCTCAATCTATAGTTGACTATGAACCGGGACCAGAAGCTGTTGTCCCAGCTGGGGTTCAGTGATGAGCAGTCTCTGACAGTGAAGAGCTCCGGCACAGGCACGCCCTCTGGTGGCAGCTCAGAGTCCTCTGTCTCCGCTTCCTCCTCCAGCTCCGCTGTCTTCAACTCAGCCTACGCTATGGAACAGGTACACCACACACACACACACACGCACGCACATGTGTATATATATATACAAACAGTTAATGTTTGAGTCTGATTATGTGCTAACGGTGTGTGTGTAGGAGAAGTCCCTTCCAGGTGTTGTCATGGCGTTGGTGTGTAACGTGTTTGAGATGCTTTACCAGCTGGCCAACCTGGATGAACCACGGTGAGTTACTCACGCAGATCCTTCAAGGACCTGGACCTGACTCCCGAATGGTAAAACATTTATTATGTTCTGTGTGTGTATTCCAGGATAACCCTGCGTGTGCGTAAGCTGCTGCTGCTGATCCCAACAGACCCAGAGGTTCAGGACGCTCTAGATAACTTTGTTCCCAAAGAATCCAGTGTCTGGAGTCACCAGGTACATATATATTAACTAGTTATATAGCTACTAACCCATCAGTACTATTATATTCTAGTCCTGTACTAACAACCATCAGGTCAGGCCCACCAGTGGGTAAGGTTGTGTTTAGGTTGAAATTATGATGAGGAGAGTTCAACTCCTCTGACCAGAGCCAGTGTGATAAAATGTATGTGTTTCCTGTGTGTGTCTCCTGTAGAAGACATTGTTCACCCTGGGTCAGGGGTCAGGCTCTCGGTCTCCATCTCTGGGTTCTAAGCAGCAGCACCAGCCCAGTGCTGCCTCCATCTTGGAATCACTCTTCAGATCCTCTGCTCCCGGGATGTCCACCTTCAGAGTCCTCTACAACCTAGAGGTGCACACACACACTAAATATACACACACACACACACACACAACACTCACATTTCTACACGGACACACTTCACACATTTCTTCCTTCGACCACTCTCGCTCTCTCTCTCTCTCTCATTAGGTGTTGAGTTCTAAGTTGATGCCGACCTCAGATGATGAGATGGCTAAGACCAGTGTCAAGTCTTTCTGTGAGAACTTCCTGAAAGCGGGAGGACTCAGTTTGGTGGTAAACGTGATGCAGCGAGACTCTATTCCCTCTGAGGTGGACTATGAAACCAGACAGGGTGTCTACTCTATCTGTCTACAACTGGCCAGGTACACACACATACACACACAGCATATGTTTTTCTATCCTTGTGGGGAGCTAACATTTCTATTCAAAATCCTATTTTCCCTAACATGAACTCCTAACACCTAACCCTAATTCTAACCCTAATTGTAACCCTAAACCTAACCCCTAAGCTTAAAATAGTGTTTGTCCTCATGGGGATGTGGGAAATGTCCCCACAAGGGAGAGGTTTTCCTTGTTTTACTATCCTTGTGGGGACTTTTGGGGATTTCCGGTACCCACAAGGATATTAATAGAATCCCACACATACACAAAGAAATATACATTGTTAGAGAGGTTGAATGTGATTGGATCTTCCTTTTCCCTGCAGGTTCCTATTGGTTGGCCAAAGTATGCCGTCGTTGCTGGATGATGATGTCATCCGAGAGGGCGACACGCTGTCTAGTCGGCCATTCCGTAACGCGGGGCGACCAGGGAGACAGCTGTCGCTGTGTGGAACGCCTGAGAAGAGCTCCTATAGACAGATGTCTCTGTCTGACCGCTCCTCCATCAGAGTAGAGGAGATCATCCCTGCTGCACGTGTAGCTATTCAGGTACCCACACACGCATACCTAACACACACATGCACCTAATACACACACATCTAACGCACACCTCTAACCCTGTCTCTCCTTTGTAGACGATGGAGGTGGGGGACTTCACCTCGACGGTGGCGTGTTTCATGCGTCTAACCTGGGCAGCAGCCGCCGGCCGATTGGACCTCGTCGGCAGTCCTCAGCCAATCAGACCTGAACACAGCTCACTCCTCCCCCTCGTGGTCCGCAGCCGTGTCAGCAGCACTGGTGAGACACACACACACAAGAAACTGACGGATTACATTACATAAATAGATTATTGCCTGTTATTCTGATTGTTTTGCCCTCTCCTGATGTCTCTCATTGTACAGGAAGTAACTGCAGCTCCAGCAGTGAGGGCGAGGCGCCACCCACAGCGTTGCATGCTGGGATATGCGTGAAGCAGCAGAGTGTTTCTATTAAAGACTGCATCATCGCTAGAGAGGCCCTGTCTCTACTGGTCACCTGTCTACAGCTACGGACACAGCAGCTAGGTAACACGTCACACACACACACACACACACACACACACACACACACACACACTGTTTTGTGAAGACCAAATGCTAACAGTGTTTGTCTCTATCCAGGGTCATTCTACAACCTCCCCTGTGTCAGCGACTTCATCATCGACATCCTGCTGGGATCAGCCAGTGGAGAGGTAACTAGGGTGTGTGGGAGTGGGGGTGTGAGACTGAGTGTGTGTGTTATAACCCGTGTCTCTGTCAGATCCGGCACGTGGCGTGTGACCAGCTGTACACTCTGAGCCAATCAGACACGTCTGCGTTCCCTGAGATCATCAAACCCAACGTGTTCTTGCTCCGAGTCGTCCTCACCTCCCAGCTGCCCCTCTGGAGCCCCACGTCTGTCATGAGAGGAGTCAACCAGAGGTACACACACACACACACGTGTTGTTGTCATTGCTGCTGGGAGGCAGTAGGAAGTTAGGCGGCAGGTAGCTTAGTGGGTAAGAGCGTTGTGCCAGTAACCGAAAGGTCGCTGGTTCTAATCCCAGAGCCGACTAGGTGAAAAATCTGTCGATGTGCCCTTAAGCAAGGCACTTAACCCTAATTGCTCATGTAAGTCGCTCTGGATAAGAGCGTCTGCTAAATGACTAAATTGTAATGTAAAATGTTTGACAGCAGATGGCGCCAAATTATCTGTGACCAATGTTATCTATATAAACTCAGCAAAAAAAGAAACGTCCTCTCACTGTCAACTGTGTTTATTTTCAGCAAACTTAACATGTGTGAATATTTGTATGAACATAACAATATTCAACAACTGAGACATAAACTGAACAAGTTCCACAGACATGTGACTAACAGAAATGGAATAATGTGTCCCTGAACAAAGGGGGGGTCAAAATCAAAAGTAACAATCAGTATCGGGTGTGGCCACCAGCTGCATTAAGTACTGCAGTTCATCTCCTCCTCATGGACTGCACCAGATTTGCCAGTTCTTGCTGTGAGATGTTACCCCACTCTTCCACCAAGGCACCTGCAAGTTCCCAGACATTTCTGGGGGGAATGGCCCTAGCCCTCACCCTCCGATCCAACAGGTCCCAGACGTGCTCAATGGGATTGAGATCCGGGCTCTTCGCTGGCCATGGCAGAACACTGACATTTCTGTCTTGCAGGAAATCACGCACAGAACGAGCAGTATGGCTGGTGGCATTGTCATACTGGAGGGTCATGTCAGGATGAGCCTGCAGGAAGGGTACCACATGAGGGAGGAGGATGTCTTCCCTGTAACACACAGCATTGAGATTGCCTGCAATGACAGCAAGCTCAGTCCGATGATGCTGTGACACACCGCCCCAGACCATGACGGACCCTCCACCTCCAAATCGATCCCGCTCCAGAGTACAGGCCTCGGTGTAACGCTCATTCCTTCGACGATAAACGCGAATCCGACCATCACCCCTGGTGAGACAAAACCGCGACTCGTCAGTGAAGAGCACTTTTTGCCAGTCCTGTCAGGTCCAGCGACGGTGGGTTTGTGCCCATAGGCAACATTGTTGCCGGTGATGTCTGGTGAGGACCTGCCTTACAACAGGCCTACAAGTCCTCAGTCCAGCCTATTGCGGACAGTCTGAGCACTGATGGAGGGATTGTGCGTTCCTGGTGTAACTCGGGCAGTTGTTGTTGTTATCCTGTACCTGTCCCGCAGGTGTGATGTTCGGATGTACCTATCCTGTGCAGGTGTTGTTACATGTGGTCTGCCACTGCGAGGACGATCAGCTGTCCATCCTGTCTCCCTGTAGCGCTGTCCTAGGCGTCTCACAGTACGGACATTGCAATTTATTGCCCTGGCCACATCTGCAGTCCTCATGCCTCCTTGCAGCATGCCTAAGGCACGTTCACGCAGATGAGCAGGGACCCTGGGCATCTTTCTTTTGGTGTTTTTCAGAGTCAGTAGAAAGGCCTCTTTAGTGTCCTAAGTTTTCATAACTGTGACCTTAATTGCCTACCGTCTGTAAGCTGTTAGTGTCTTAACGACCGTTCCACAGGTGCATGTTCATTCATTGTTTATGGTTCATTGAACAAGCATGGGAAACAGTGTTTAAACTCTTTACAATGAAGATCTGTGAAGTTATTTGGATTTTTTACGAATTATCTTTGAAAGACAGGATCCTGAAAAAGAGACGTTTCTTTTTTTGTTGAGTTTAGCTAAAGTTGGTTATAAATGTATATGGATGTATAGCGCCAGGGCCCATTTTGTTCTGTGTGTCCTGTCTATATGTCTATATCTGAGTGTATAATATTGTTCTGTCTGTCCAGGTTGCTGTCTCAGTGTACTGAATACTTTGAACTGCGATGTCAACTACTGGATGACCTGACCAGTGAGTTTACACACACACACACGCATGCACACACACGCACCAACAGTTTTACAACACTGGCATTGACACATGATGAATGCTCCTGTCCCACACCCTCAGGTTCGGAGATGGAGGTGTTGTCAGTGAGTGCGGCGGCCATGTTGGAAGATGAGATCAGCTGGTTGGATAACTTTGAGCCCAGCTGGAGCTCTGAGATGGAGACCAGCGAGGCTGACAACATCCTGCAGGCTGGACACCTCCGCCTCATCAAAACACTACTGTCACTCTGTGGCACCGAGAAGGAACAACTGGGTGAGAACACACACAAGCATGTTTTGATACTTTGATCGGGAGGTCGTACGACCATCTGGAGCTCGTAGACGGTGTGTGTTCTGAAGTCTCTGTGTGTGTTCTTCGCAGGTCCCTCTCTGATCCAGCAGATGTTGGATGACTTCCTGTTCCGAGCGTCTCGCATCATCCTGAACACGTCTAACCCTGCCTCTAGCTCCCCCCCCAGCCACGACTTCCACCCCAAGTGCAGCACGGCCAGCAGCAGACTGGCAGCCTACGAGGTGCTGGTGATGCTGGCAGACAGCTCTGTGGCCAACCTACAGCTCATCACCAGAGAACTGCTGTCCATGCACCACCAGTCAGACCCCTCGCTCAGCAAGGAGTTTGACGTGAGTCTCACACACATGCTTGCGCTCATGCACACAGTTGCGTGCACACACACACACGACAAAGAAACACACGTGAATGGAGAAATGCTTGATAGAACTGAAGTGTTACAGGTATGTAATGTTATAAGAAAGAGTAATAGGTCTGCTTGCTGTAGTCAGTCTACCGTCAACGTGTCTAACTCTCTCTCTTCTATTCCCTCCCTCCGTGCCCCTCTCTCAGTTCCTCCCGCCGGTGGACAGTTGTTCTGTGTCAGGGTTCGTAGGGTTAAAGAACGGTGGAGCCACCTGCTATATGAATGCTGTGTTTCAGCAGCTGTACATGCAGCCTGGCCTGGCTGAGGCCTTTCTGTCTATAGAGGACAACACACAGCAGCCAGACGAGAGTGTGTTCTGTCAGGTCCAGTCTCTGTTCGGACATCTGATGGAGAGCAAGCTGCAGTACTACGTTCCTGAGAATTTCTGGAAGGTATCTAAACATGCGCACGCACTATACACACACACTCATTCTAATACACAGTACATACTTAACTATGTTTCGGTCAAAAATAACACATGAATGTGTTTCTGTAGATCTTTAAGATGTGGAATAAGGAGCTGTATGTACGAGAGCAACAGGATGCCTATGAGTTCTTCACTTCACTGGTGGACCAGTTGGACGAGCACCTCAAGGTAACACACAATAACAAAAGACACTTGTCTTTTCCCACTTTTCCCTCCTCCACTATTCACTACTAAACACGTTTGTACTATAATGTAACACAACACACACCTTTATTATTATTGAGATGTTGGGTCTGTCTTGTTTTTCAGAAAATTGGCCGTGAACAGATCTTCAAGAATACTTTCCAGGGAATCTTCTCTGATCAGAAGATCTGCAAAGACTGCCCTCACCGGTGAGCGCACACACACACACACACACAAACACACAAACAATCAAAGGCAGCCATCACTTCTAAACTCCTAACTATAACCTCTGATCCCTGATCGTAGGTATGAGCGAGAGGAGACGTTTATGGCGCTGAACCTGGGTGTGACTTCCTGTCAGAGTCTGGAGATCTCATTGGACCAGTTCGTCAGGGGGGAGGTGCTAGAAGGAACCAACGCCTACTACTGCGAAAAGTGCAAGGAGAAGGTGTGTGTGTGTGTGTGTGTGTGTGTGTGTGTGTGTGTGTGTGTGTGTGTGTTAATGTGTGTGCAAAGAGGGTGTTTATTAAGTCGCTGTCCAGTGTTGTGTGTACATGTATGTTAACGTGGTGTGCGTATCTCTACAGCGTACCACAGTGAAGCGGACTTGCATAAAGTCCCTGCCCAGTGTTCTCTGTATCCATCTGATGCGCTTCGGTTTCGACTGGGAGAGCGGACGCTCCATCAAATACGACGAGCAGATCAGGTTTCCCTGGGTGCTGAACATGGAGCCCTACACGGTGTCTGGCATGGCTCGTCAGGATGGGGGGGCGGAGGGGGGAGATGGCCGGGCCGAGCCAGGGGGCTCACCCAGGAAGAAGGTGACCATCTCAGAGAACTACGAACTGGTGGGAGTTGTAGTCCACAGTGGACAGGCACACGCTGGACACTACTACTCCTTCATCAAGGACAGACGGTAAGAGACACACACACACTTTAGTGTTATAAACAAATATCTCATGTTTAAGACAAGTAACATTTTTTTATCACAAATGATCAACTTCTCATCCTGTCCTCTCCCTCTCTGCTCTCCATCCTTTCCTCTCCTGTCCTCAGCAGTGCTAGGGGAAGGTGGTATAAGTTTAATGACAACGTGGTCGAGGAGTTTGATATGAACGACGAGACTCTGGAGTATGAGTGCTTTGGAGGAGAGTACCGGCCTAAGGTCTACGACCAGTGTAAGTCCTATTTTACAGGTAGACCAAGTAGTGGATGTCAATAAAACTTTCTCAGCAGCAAAAGTTGTGGTGTCCCTCGAGTAGCGTCCTTGGTCCCCCTCGCTTCCAGTTCCTTCTGTACATTAAAGTGGTAATATGTAACTTTTTGGGCGACCCGACCAAATTCACATAGAAATGGGAGTTATAGATCAATCATTCCGCTTGAAATCAAGTCTAAGAAGCAATATATATGTTCTATGTGCGCTATTTCTATGCTTCCCTTTCTTAAGTTTTGTTTTTGAGTCTTTTACTTTGGGTTTTGTACACCAGTTTCAAACAGCTGAAACAACAATATTTTGGGCTATGAGAAATGTATTTCACAGTGGTTTAGATAGTACAATGATTCTCTACACTATACTAGCTTATTTTGTAACAAAAACTGAAATTAGGCGAACTATTCGAGTTTTAGCAACCAGTAAATGGCGAAGCGATTTCTGCATAGTGCAACTTTAATGACATCATGAAAGATCAAACATCCCATTCTCTGTGTGTGTAGCTAACCCCTACCCTGACGTGCGGCGGCGGTATTGGAATGCCTACATGTTGTTCTACCAGAGGATCAGTGACCAGAACTCTCCTGTTCTCCCCAAGAAGAGCAGAGTCAGTGCCATGAGGCAAGAGGCAGAAGACCTCACACTGTGAGTCACACACACACACACACACACACACACAGCCTAAATATACACACCTCATACACACACACAACTCACACTTTAACCCTCTCTCTCCCCTGTAGTTCGGCACCCTCTAGCCCAGACGTCAGTCCCCAGTCGTCCCCTCGGCCCCCCAGGGCCAACAATGACCGTCTCTCTGTCCTGACCCGCCTCGTACGGAAGGGAGAGAAGAAAGGTCTGTTTGTGGAGAAGATGCCTGCTAGGATCTACCAGGTAAATACACTGGACTAGACCGGTTCGGTGGACCACGTTTTTTATCAATAACCTTGCCTGAGACCTGAAGACTTGTAATAGCACACTGTGTTCATGCCTAGGCTTGAACTCAGATAGCTAACAAAGACAAACTTCTGTCTCTCTGTCTGTGTGTGTGTGTAGATGGTGAGAGATGAGAACCTGAAGTTTATGAAGAACAGAGATGTGTACAATAGTGACTACTTCAACTTCACCCTGTCACTGGCCTCTGTCAACGCGGTACGTGTTTGTGACTGTTTGTGTGTGTAGGATAAACAGAGACGTGTCAGCATAATTCAAGGTTGCGCCTGCCTCTCGAAGCTGTTCTTATAAGCAATGTGTGTTGTATTGCAGACGAAGCTGAAGCACCCAGCCTACCAGGCCATGGCCAGAGAGAGTCTCCAGTTGGCGGTCCACTTCCTGTTCCACACCTACCTCCACACCAAGAAGAAGCTGCGGGTGGACACCGAGGAGTGGATGGCTACGGTGGAGGTGTTGCTGTCTAAAAGCAGTGAAGCCTGTCACTGGATGGCTCAGTACCTGGTGGAACCTGAGGGACGAGAGATCACCAAGTCAGTACTGCTATAATACTATTATACTACTGTAATACACCTACACTCCACACAGAACCACTGCAGTACTTACATAATACTACTACTTGTAGTACTTACATTACTACTCATCAATCCAACTGATCTTCTCTTTCTCCCCCTCATCTCTTCTCTTTCTCTCCTCCCCCCCAGGGTGTGTCTGTTGGAGTGTGGGGTGAGGGAGGTGAGGGTCGTAGTGGCAGCCATCTTGGAAAAAACTTTAGAGAGTGCGCTCCACTTCGCTGACTCTGGATTGGACAGCCTGACCGATGCGCTCCTCTCCCTATTGGACAAAGACGTTCCTGAGAACGTCAAACACTGCAACCAATACTTCAGCCTCTTCAGCAACTTTGCTCAGAGGGTAACACACACAAGCACCATATAAACACATTACACGCACACATAGACAGACCCACTCTGATATCCAATATCTCTCTCTCCCAGGGCTCTGGTCCGTGCCAGTTGTTGTTGAAACACTCAGCGTATCGTAGGATGCTCATCTTCCTCCTCGGACCCAACAGACAGAACAACCAGGTACGTACACACACAACACACACACTCAATTCCTGCTAATCTGCAGAGAAATGAATATGACAAGATGTTGTTGTTGATGGTTCTGGAAGCTCATCACCTTTTTCCCACTCTCTCTCTATCTTGCTCCCGCTTCCTCTCTATCCCTCTATCGCTCTTTCATTCTCTCGCTCTAGAATCGGAGGTGGAGTCCAGCCCAGGCCAGAGAGTTCCTGCACCTGCACTCCACTCTGGCCCTGATGACTCTCCACTCAGACCTCAACACACAGCACACACATGGTAACACACACATTACCACAGTTAGGATGCTTCCATAATACGCTGATGTGTGGAACCTGACGTGATTGTGTGTGTTTCTCAGATCAAGGTGTGTGTAAGCTGAATGTGAGCAGTGTCCCTGCCTCCTCCCTCCTCCTCCACCTCAACGCTGACATCATGGCCTCGCTCTTCACCCCAGAGGGACAGCCTTACCTGCTGGAGGTAACACACACAGTCTCATGCACACACACACATACACATTGACACATCTATATGTATTTTTTACTTTTTCCGTGTGTGTAGGTGATGTTTGCAGTGCGGGAGTTGTCCGGCCCTCTGACTGTGCTGATAGAGATGGTGACGTACTGTTCCTTCTGTAACGAACCCTTCTCCCTCGGAGTACTACAGCTGCTCAAGGTAAGAACTACAACTCCCAGCCCTAAACATGTCCATTACCACAGATAACTACAAACCCCAGCACAAAACACAGCCAATACCATTCTGATCTCTGTGTGTGTGTGTATAGACGCAGTTGGAGACTGCACCGCCCCATGAGCTGAAGAACGTGTTCCAGCTGCTGCAGGAGCTGCTGGTGAGTGACCGCTGGCAATCAAACCTGTCTGCATGTCCTTGGAAACAAACAGAATAATGCTAGCTCCAGACTGTGTGTGTGTGTGTGTTCTCAGGTGGTGGAGGATCCTCTTCAGACTCAGAGACTGAAGTATGCCTTCGAGTCAGAGAAAGGCCTACTAGGTAGGCTACCTTCCACTCTTCACTGGGATTGTGTGTGGGTGTGTGTGTGTGTGTGACTCTGTTCTCTTGTTTGCAGCATTGATGCACCAGAGTAACAACGTGGACAGCAGCCGCTGCTATCAGTGTGTCAAGTTCCTGGTTACCCTGGCACAGAAGTGAGTTTCTCCAGAGACCGTTTTGCGAAATATGTTCATGTCGCCGCCATTGTGTCTCAGGCTGAAAATGTTGAATGGGGGTAGATTTGACCGTTGCAGCAAATACATCAAAGTAATGCAAATGTTTCAGTTCTGTTAAAACCTCTAATTTCACACTTCCTGTTTTCACATAACGTGTTTGTGTGTGTGTGTCTGTCTCCAGGTGTGCTCCTGCTAAGGACTATTTTAAAGACCTGTCTGGTCACTGGAGCTGGGCAGTGCAATGGCTGCAGAAAAAGGCAAGCGTCAAGCACAAAATAACACACACAATCCAGCACTCTATTTCAGACCTGTCTCTCATATGTACGTGTGAGTCACAGGAGGCTGCTGAGGGGACTCATAATAATGGCCAGAACGGCGCAAATGGAATGGCATCAAACACCTGGAAACTATGAGTTTGACATATATGATACCATTCCACTTATTCCGCTCCAGTCATTACCACGAGCCCGTTCTCCCCAATGAAGGTGCCACCAACCTCCTGTTGTGTGAGTGCACATGCATGTGGCATTTTGTGTGTGTGTGTGTGGGAGAGCATAGAGTATGCGTTAGAGTAACAATGTGTTTCTCTGTCAGATGTCGGAACACTACTGGACTCCTCAGAGCAACGTGTCCAATGAGACGTCCACAGCCAAAACGTTCCAGCGCACCATCTCAGCCCAGGACACCTTAGCCTATGCCACAGCACTGCTCAACGAGAAGGAGCCGTCTGGCAGCAGCAACGGCTCTGACGGCAGTCCAGCCAATGAGAACGCCGACCGCAGCCTCCGACAGGTACACACAGACAGTCTGACAGTGTGTTTATGGAAAACTTTACAGAGGTAGAATGTATAAAGAGAACAGTAACGGCCCAAGAACAGAGATATTGTCACTTCTCAGAACGGGGCTCTAAATCTAGGCTGGAGAGTTTCATATGAATCGATTTCATAAACACTATATATACTACCATTCAAAAGTTTGGGGTCACTTAGAAATGTCCTTGTTTTTTAAAATAACATCAAATTGATCTGAAATGCAGTGTAGACATTGTTAATGTTGTAAATGGCTATTGTAGCTGGAAACTGCTTTTTGTAGGTATTTTACCCCCTTTTTCTCCCCAGTTTCGTGGTATCCAATTGGTAGTTACAGTCTTGTCCCATCGCTGCAAGCCGTGCGTCCTCCGAAACACAACCCAACCGAGCCGCACTGCTTCTTGACACAATGCCCGTTTAACCCGGAAGCCAGCCGCACCAATGTGTCGGAGGAAACACCATACACCTGGCGACCGAGTCAGTGTGTACTGCGCCCGGCCCGCCACAGGAGGCGCTAGTGCGCAATGGGACAAGAACATCCCTGCCGGCCAAACCCTCCCCTAACCTGGACGAGAAACAGGATCTCTAGTGGCACTGGGATGCAGTGCCTTAGACCACCAAATGGCTGATTTTTAATGGAATATCTACATAGGCGTACAGAGGTGCTCAGTTGTGCACCGGAGCCTCCCACTCTTCTTTCTATTCTGGTTAGAGCCAGTTTGCGCTATTGTACGAGAACTTCAGTTTCTTGGCAATTTCTCAAATGGAATAGCCTTAATTTCTCAGAACAAGAATAGACTGACGAGTTTCAGAAGAAAGTTATTTGTTTCTGGACATTTTGAGCCTGTAATCGAACCCACAATTGCTGATGCTCCAGATACACAACTAGTCTCAAGAAGGCCAGTTTTATTGGTTCTTTAATCAGCACAACAGTTTTCAGCTGTGCTAACAGAATTGCAAAAGGGTTTTCTAATGATCAATTAGCCTTTTCAAATGATAAACTTGGATTAGCAAACACAACGTGCCATTGGAACACAGGACTGATGGTTGCTGATAATGGGCCTCTGCACGCCTATGTAGATATTCAATTACAAATCAGCCGTTTCCAGCTACAATAGCCATTTACAACATTAACAATGTCTACACTGTATTTCTGATCAATTTGATGTTATTTTAATGGACAAAAAAATTGCTTTTCTTTCGAAGACTTTTGAACGGTAGTTTATATGTCTTTCCTCTGAAATGCCACGTCTCATGTAATCTCTCTCTCCCCTCTCTTTTTATCTCAGGGTTCCGAGTCTCCCATGATGCTCGGTGATTCAAAGAGTGATCTGGAGGATGTTGACCCTTAGATCCGCCTATCAGACACAATCTTTACAATGGCGAGACGGCACGGCTCCAGACAGCCAATCAGACTGCTTTTCACCTCTGATTGGCCAGAATATGGAGGGAGGGGCCCGCTACAGCCAATCAGAACACTTATTCTCCTGGTTGCTGGGGCAACGAAGGATGCGTGAATAATCATGTGTGACTTCCTGCCAGACCAGACTAATGGAATCAGAGCTGGAGGAGAGTTTAGAGACCTGACTAATGGATTACAAAGCAGTTTGTTCTCTTACTAGCCGAGTCTGAAATGTCACCCAGTGGAGGCTGGTGGGAGGAGCTATAGGAGGACGGGCTCATTGTAATGGCTGAAATGGAATAAATGGAACGGAGTCAAATGTGGTCAAACGTGTTTGATACCGTTCCATACATTCCTTTCCAGCCATTACAATGAGCCCGTCCTCCTATAGCTCCTCCCACCAGCCTCCACTGATGTCACCCTATTGCTTATATAGTCCACTACTTTTGACCAAAGCTTCAGTGACAGAGGTAGTGCGCTATATAGGCAGTAGGGTGTCTTCAGATGGAGCCAATATTGTCTCACAAGGAAGGGACAGGGTTGTTTGTTTTTGAAGTTGTTGCTCATATTTGCCTATGTAACTAAATAGACATTCATTATTGTAAAGATCTGTTCCATAGCTGTAATTTCAAATGTAAGATATTTTAAAGTATCCTGTGCTCCACTCTGTAGAGGTGTGTATGTGTGAGGCCGCAGTATAAGGCATAACCTGCTCTGGAGGAATTACGATGCACACACACACACGTTTAACCGGGGATTTTAAGTATGCACTTTATAGTCCACCCCAGTCTATAGTGAAGTAGAGCAGCAGTGATTAGATCCTCTAGACCAGATTAACCACCCTCCTCACACACACACACACACACACACACCAACACACCTCTCTTTTTTTATCACATCAAACTGAGTTGTCAGTGCTTTACACACAGACACACACAGCTGATACCTCCATAGAGAACACATGCAGTCTATGGAGGGTTCTAGAACACAAACGGAACAAAGCCAACCAACCAATCAGCACTCTCCTTCCCCTCCAGCTGATGAACAGTGACTCACAGTGCTGGATTTTAGTTATTTTTTTGTTTAATTTGTTTATCAGTTGACATCACTGTACTCATGCCTTATGCCACCACAGCTGCCCTTTGACACAAACACACACAGACACAAGACAGCAGAGGGTCAACGTGCCAATCAGAGGAGAGATCAGAAGCAAGTTTAATTTTGGGTGCCAATGAAATTCACACACACACACACACACACACACACACACACACACTCTCCCTCTCATAAACACACACAGCATACCCTCTGTGCTTGATCATTACATTATCATTATTCAGGAACTTATTTGCCAACTGCTTTGCTTTCTTTGACTTCGTTTATCTTTGTTTGTTCACGTCTGCCATTGGGACGTACAGAGGGGGCATAACCTCTGACTCCTAAACTCAAGGGAGAACAACTGCCCCCTCTCATTGATGCCACAAAGTTCAAGGCCGACCGCAGTACTGCAGGCATTGTTTGCAGAAAACAGTATCCCCCATTATAGTGAATGGGAATATGGCAATCTTCGTGTAATAAATAAATAAAAATGGAAGACAATCATGGTACCAATAATTGCTTCTATTACACCAGATGTATGTCCTTGAACCCATTATTTTAAAATTGTACACCGAAGTAATTTAGTAGCTTATGGCAGCCTGCAGTACCCTGTTCTGCCTTCAACTTGACAGACTTAATGAGAGGTGGCAGCACTGAGCTAGCCTGCAACATATAATTCCTAGAGTAGCTCAAACTGCACATGTTATGTCTACATAAATCGCCCACATGAGACACCATCTTAACGACTTCCTTGGCTTCAAATGCGCTATTGAATCTTCACATAGGATTGAATAGTGTCATGTGATCGATGGCTTTGTCCATTTATATATATATATAGTCATTGCTCTGACACCAAACAACCCCACCCTGACCACTAACCTCTTGACCTAACCCAACCCCTGGGAGAATTCAAGTGCCTTCATCTCCCAACTCCTCACACCTCGCACCCTTGTCTCCTCTCACCCCAATCCCCTACCTGTCCACAGATGACTTGCTATAATAACTGTGTGTGTATGTGTGACCATGCTGCGCATTGACCGGCAGACTGACCGGGTCCTGGTCTCAGAAGGCTATGTCAGAGTGGTCAGGTGTGCCAGTGACACAGCACTCCCCACTCACAGTGCAGAATGTTCAGTTTGACCCTCAGCAGCACATGTAGTCCTCCTCAGAACAGTACCAACTAATCAATCATTTATTTGTATCTGCATGGTGGAGGGAGGGAGGAGGGAAGGAGTGACATGGATCCAGGATTTTATTCTGTCAGTTTGTCTGCTTTGAGCATTACTCCTGCTGAAGGACAGTCCGCTGTGGCAAACCCTGCATGTTAAAACCCAGTTTTCATTTGTACATCAGAGTTTGATTATGGGGAAATTTGATATAAAATAAACTGAAATGCACAGCCTTTTGTACACTGTGTTCTTTGTGTGTCTGTGTGAAGCAGGAGTGATCACAGTAAATTATAAAATCACTATGTTTATTTCAGGTCAAGCCAGTTGCAGTATGGGACAGCTGTGGGAGGAATAGAGGATCAGAGGGACAGAACCAGAGTCAGTGATCTGTTTGTTCAGGAGCTCAGAGAGGGCAGGGCCACGGATGCTGACCTTGTCATCATGGAAACCAGTCAGCGGAACACTGCGAGAGTGAAGGCTGAGAAAAGGGGGAGAAAAATAAGTTCTGATTTCTCCCTGAAGCTCCATCACATTATCAATATACAGTGATGATCACATTACTTCCTAGTAATACTACATTTTAGTATATTACGTGAGTGTGTGTATACAGTACCTGTTGTTTTTCTCCCCTGCAGCAGCATCCATGCAGTCTTCAGTTCCTCTCTCCTCCGGGCTCTGAGAGATCAACACCACCTGACACAGAAACACACACTGTGATTTGATTATCCAGTTTGATTATCAAATCAAATCAAATTTTATTTGCCACATGCGCCGAATACAACAGGTGTAGACATTACAGTGAAATGCTTACTTACCCTCTGTAATGCCTTGCGGTCGGAGGCCAAGCAGTTGCCATACCAGGCGGTGATGCAACCAGTCAGGATGCTCTCGATGGTGCAGCTGTAGAACTTTTTGAGGATCTGAGGACCCATACCAAATCTTTTCATTCTCCTGAGGGGGAATAGGCTTGTTGTCGATGAGAATGGGGGCGTGCTCAGTCCTCTTTTTTTTTCCTGTAGTCCACAATCATCTCCTTTGTCTTGATCACGTTGAGGGAGAGGTTGTTATCCTGGCACCACACGGCCAGGTCTCTGACCTCCTCCCTATAGGCTGTTTCAACGTTGTCTGTGTCGTCGGCAAACTTAATGATGGTGTTGGAGTCGTGCCTGGCCATGCAGTCATGGGTGAATAGGGAGTACAGGAGGGGACTGAGCACGCACCCCTAAGGGGGCCCCGTGTTGAGGATCAGCCTGGCAGATGTGTTGTTACCTACCCTTACCACCTGGGGGCGGCCTGTCAGGAAGTCCAGGATCCAGTTGCAGAGGGAGGTGTTTAGTCCCAGGAACCTTAGCTTAGTGATGAGCTTTGAGGGCACTATGGTGTTGAACTCTGAGCTGTAGTCAATGAATAGCATTTTCACGTAGGTGTTCCTCTTGTCCAGGTGGGAAAGGGCAGTAGATTGCATCATCTGTGGATCTGTTGGGGCGGTATGCAAATTGGAGTGGGTCTAGGGTTTCTGGGATAATGGTGTTGATGTGAGCCATGACCAGCCTTTCAAAGCACTTCATGGCTACAGACGTGAGTGCTACGGGTCGGTAGTCATTTAGGCAGGTTATCTTAGTGTCCTTGGGCACAGGGACTATGGTGGTCTGCTTGAAACATGTTGGTATTACAGACTCAGTCAGGGACATGTTGAAAATGTCAGTGAAGACACTTGCCAGTTGGTCAGCACATGCTCGGAGTACACGCCCTGGTAATCCGTCTGGCCCTGCGGCCTTGTGAATGTTGACCTGCTTAAAAGTCTTACTCACATCGGCTACGGAGAGCGTGATCACATAGTCACCTGGAACAGCTGGTGCTCTCATGCATGCTTCAGTGTTGCTTGCCTCGAAGCGAGCATAGAAGTGATTTAGCTCGTCTGGTAGGCTTGTGTCACTGGGCAGCTTGTGTCACTGTGCACACTCTTTTTGTGTGTTATGTCTCTGGGAGAGACATAGTGGAGACAAAGACCACACACGCTGCTACCATCTTATTCAACACTTGCTCTCTTTTATAAACAGATGCAAAGTGGTTCAGTGTTTGCTTGATGGGTAACCTTACCTGAGACCTGAAAACTTGTGCTGGCTGGCTCCTCAAGGTAAGTTCTAGTTTAATCTTTACTTAATCACACACCTGTATGTCCTTACCTTAGGGTAGCACTGGCATAGGCTCCATGCGGTGCCAAGGCTAACCATGGTGACCCCCAGGGCGCAGAGTGTTGCATAGACTTGAGGTCACTCCTGAGTCATAACAAACAGACTGACTAACGACACACACAGCACCGCCGCGATCAGACCATACCGGTACGGCTTCCCCTCCACCATACTGCTACCCTAAACCTGACCCCTGACGTCTAACTGTAACCCACTCTATCAGGGATAGCCTTAGGATGCAGCTTAGTTAACACAGAGTTAATCACAGGTGGTGTATTAGCTAAGATTTGATCTATTAGAGTTAGCTAAGCTATAGTAATGTCTGTTAGTTAGTAGTTAGACTGTTGGCTCTGGGTCAGACACTGAAGGTGAGGGAGAGGAGGAGGAAGAGAAGAGGAAGAGGGGGAGAGAGGGCAGGCTGAGTTCTACTCTGCTGGTTCTTACAGCCTGCAGATGACTGTAGAGCAGGGGTTGTGTGTGTGTGTGTGTGTGTGTGTTGGCTAGTGTGTCACCTTGCCCACAGCTCAGCTCCCCAACTCTTTGTCCTATTTTCCTCTCTTCTCCTCCACATCTTCATCTCTCTCTCCATGAGAAAGCATTTATTTCAAGTGTAAGTGAGGTTAGAACAGAACAAAGAAACTGAGTAATAATACACTGTAC